AATATGCAGCTGCTGAATTTATTAACTCAGATATCTCATTCTCTGCTGTATCTAATGTTTATGTCGGTAGAACAATTTCTAGGACTGTCATTTCAGAAGTATGGGATGTTTATGGGAAGGAATACCTTATAATAAAAGCAAGGTAGGGAATGCATTTCTGGAATGCTGTGATGGTAACAGTATTTCCCCCAAAGCAATAGATCATCTGGCAGTTTGCCCAAGTGACACCAGATGTTAAACCTGTCATTCTAGTCATTTTTCTCCCTGGTCATACTCACTTCATTCTTGGATTTTTAACAATTACTTGAACAAAGATAAGGACTATCCAATGAAAGATATCTATGAAAAATAGCCATAATCTTGACTTTTTGGATTCCCTTTCTGCATAGTCCTCTGAAGTTGCTTTGCAAAGCAATATGACCAAATTGAGCTAATGGCAATATGGATATATCTATGCAGTTCTCATGGAAATACTAAAAATTGGTTTACGTTTACCTATTGTTTTCTGGTTTAGAATAATAATATTTTTTTAAAAAAAAATTATGAGGGGTTGTATTTTTTTGACTTCCCAGTCCATCTTCAGTTATAAAATATCCTGATAGTCTCCAGTCCTTGTATTAATTTGGTCTAACCCTGCTTAGCTTTATGAGATCAGGCAACAAATCATTTATTTACGAAGTGTTATATTTGTTTCCAAGAATGTTGAAGCAAATCCTCAAAAATGTGAAACATAGATAGCTACAGTCTAGGAGTCTTTCCAAGTCTGTCTTTCTGCTAGGGGGTTGAGGTAGGGGGAAGAAAAGGTAAGACGAAGCCATAGAGAAGAAATTGCAGGAGTGATGCCATCAGGGTTATGGTATGCCTTGGGGCATGGGTGCTTCATAAGTGGCCACATATATGTTCCACAGCCCTGAATTATGTTTTTGAAACTCAGATGTGCTCATTAGCTCACCCCAAATATTGGGCATCTCCAGCATAATATACAATTCATTTCTACAGCAACTTTTACCCTATGAATTTCAATGATGACCACAGCAACTATTTCCCTCTATAACTTTTAACCATAGTGCTATCCTTATTGGGTTAACATTCATTCTACATTTTTATTTTATAGGGTTTTTTTATGCTCCTAAGCAACTGTAATTATAAGAGGAATACAGGCTGACACTATAGCATTTCCAAAGGATAAATCTACAGCAGATGGCAAAACTCTTTTATTTTTCAGATGACAGTGTTATGTTCACTCCATTTACCTTCCTTCAGCTCCTGAGATCAACCAGATTTTCCAGCCTTCAACTGTTTTCCAGACCCAGCATCTTGGTGTTTACCAGAAACTTCAGCAACTAATTGTTCACCATCAGTCATTCATACAATAAATCATAATACCAAATACTGTACTAGGAAGGGGATAAACTCCTACTCCATGGGAAACAGTGCTTTTAAAAATGTAATATTAGGGAAGGAATGATGGGGACAGTACACAATTGACAACTGAAAAATATTTTTTTAAAATTTTATTTATTTATTTAAAACATGCCTCTTGTCACATAGGGAAGCAGTGGCTCAGTGGGTAAGATGCTGAGCTTGTCGATCAGAAGGTCAGCAGTTCAGCTGTTCGAATCCCTAGTGCTGCGTAAACGAGTGAGCTCCTGTTACTTGTCCCAGCTTCTGCCAACCTAGAAGTTCAAAAGTACGTAAAAAACGCAAGTAGAAAAATAGGGACCACCTTTGGTGGTAACAGCACTCTGTGCACCTTTGGCATTTAGTCATGCCAGCCACATGACCATGGAAATGTCTTCCGACAGCGCTGGCTCTTTGGCTTTGAAACAGAGATGAGCACCACCCCTAGAGCCGGAAATGACTAACACGCATGTTTTATTATCACATATCTTTCAACCAACTTTGGACAGCTCCCAATCAAAAGATTTTTTTAAAAGTTTTTATCTATCATGTAAAGCCATTATGGATCTCTTCTGAATGAAGAGCTTCTCTATCAGCATTTTCAAATCACTGGGGTGGCTCTTGAATATAAAAATTATCTCTGGGCACCAAGGTTTCATTATCCACTATGAAAACAGCTAAGATCTGTCAAGGAGGAAAAAGAAATTGTGCCACATGGGACATTTTGAAATGGGAGAGTAATACCCTTATTGAATTTTCCCAGGCTATGCAGTGAATTAAAGAAGACATAGAAGTTATTAATGTTCTTGAGTCACTTTTTCAGCTGGCATGCATGTTCACCTACTTTACAGGAGACGTGAGAGAGTTTCCAGCTGTCAAAAGCACACTTAAGCAGAACAAAATCTAACATTCTAATTTGTTGAAGTATGCTTGCTAGACAGCTATCCCCATAGAGTTCAGTGGTTTGGATTTTCAAGCAAGCATGTTGGGGGTTGAACTTGCTGCATCTTAGCACCAAGAACACTAGTTAACCAACACTCAAAGAATTGTTCTTCCTAAACACCACTCTTTTTCATCAGGTTCGCCTGATCCGCCAGTTGCGTCCCTTTCTAGATCGGGACTCCCTACTCACGGCCATTCATGCCCTCGTCACGTCTCGTCTGGACTATTGTAATGCTCTCTACATGGGGCTCCCCTTGAGGTGCACTCGGAGGCTCCAACTGGCGCAGAGTGCGGCCGCACAGGTGGTAATGGGAGCAACGTGGAGCTCCCATGTAACACCTCTCCTGCGCGAGCTGCACTGGCTCCCGGTGGTCTTCCAAGTGCGCTTCAAGGTTCTGGTTACCACCTTTAAAGCGCTCCATGGCTTAGGACCTGGTTATCTACGGGACCGCCTGCTACCAGCAATAGCCTCCCACCGGCCAGTACACTCCCATAGAGAGGGGCTCCTCCGGGTGCCGTCAGCCAAACAATGTCGACTGCTGGCCCCTAGGGGGAGAGCCTTCTCTGTGGGGGCACCTACGATCTGGAACGAGCTCCCCCTGGAGATACGGAGGATCCCGGATCTGCGCACCTTCCGTAGCGCGCGTAAAACGTTTTATTTCATCAAGCTGGCCTGGCCTAAATCTTCTCCCTTTTAAAATTTTAAAATTTAAATTTTAAACAATAATTTTAGTTTGTTTAATTATGGCATATTTTAAAATTTAGCCAAATTGTTTAATCTGTTTTAATCTATTTTAAATTTTGTATCTCTGTGTTTTATTTTTTGGCTGTTCACCGCCCTGAGTCCTTCAGGAGAAGGGCGGTATAGAAATTTAATAAAATAAATAAATAAATAAATAAATAAATAAATAAATAAATAAATAAATAAATAAATAAATAAACAAACAAATAAACAAATAAATAAATAAATAAATAAATTTGTGTCTCTGAGTCAGGGGTGGGTTCTACTTACCTTTACTACTGGTTTGCAACAGGGCCTTGTGCACTCGCTCACTTCGCTTGCTCGCTCTTCTGCGCATGCGCAGAAGCGTTTTGATGACAACAGGATCAATGGGCGGAGCCTCCCGCCGGTTTTACTACCAGTTCTATACAACCGGTGCAGACTGGGGGCAACCCACCACTGCTCTGAGTACAAAAAGGTTAGTCAGGAAAGCAGTGAATCTTAGTAAAAAAAAAATCTCTAATTTCAGGCAAAATCTTTCAGTAAAATTTTTAAAGCCACCACAATGGGCCTCCATGTTGAAACTAATGAAAAGTTCATTTTATTTATACAGAGGTTGGGTTTTTTTACCTCAACATGGTGTATAGTTTTCACCACAAGAGTGATTGGTCAAAGAGACCCAATTAGATTGATTGGTCAAGTGGTGTCTTGAAACTGGATTTCCCTACTGCTTTCCACCAGCTTTCCAGGAAAAGGCCCATTTGGACCAATGTTGCCTTCATTCCAGATATTGGCAGTGGTGGTATTCAGCTGGTTTTATCCGGATCCACACAATCTGGTAGCGGCGGCTGCAGGAGGCTCCGCCCACCTGCCCAGACGTCATCACGTCCCGTTTTTGAAGCTCTGCGCATGCGCGGAAGAGTCTGCACATGTGCAGAGGTGGTGCATGTGAGTGAAGCCAGCATGCGCACGTGCTCACATTTGTGAACCGGTAGCAAAGGTAAGTGAATACCACCCCTGGATATTGGCAATTGGAAATGCAACCCCCTAGGAAAGTACTTCTGTCACTGCCAAATTGAAATGTTCAAGAACTGTGAGAAGGGGTCTCAAGAGTAGATCTTGAGCAATTAAAACCAAGAAAAGAAGCCAAACAATGTTCCTGGTGCATATTCAAGTGCCCCACAGATTTTCTCATGAATTGTTTACATTAACTCACTCAGAATTCCAAGGAAGTAAAATAAATAACCATAAACTTGAATGTCCAAATAAAGATTTGGGCTTTGGGAGTTTGGCAGACCGGCTTGGCATTACTGTGGAGAACGGCAGGCAATGTCTCATCTTCCTGAGGTAGGCAGCAACCAGCTCAGAGAGCAGAAAAGCAAATTATTTTTCTCCTTTTATTTCCACCTATTATTCCAGCCATTGTCCAGACAAGTCAAAGCAGGTAGAAATTTAGTGAAAGAGCAAATATGTTCTATACAAGGAAGAAGAAAAATGTACGTACATGTGTATATGAGAAAGAGATTGTGCATGCTATCATGAAATCTTTTGAACTGCTTCGGTATTTTTTCAAATAACAAATGTTATTCCAATATATTCTGTCTTAAGTCATACTATGCCATGACATCATTTAAGTTTGCCAATCCAACATGGATTGTTTTTGAATTTTTCCTTAAATAATGAGATTTTTTTTTTTGAGAAGCAAGTTCTTGTTATTGCAGTAGACTTTTTTAAAAAATGAGTGTAAAATAACAGATCTCAGCTTCTGTGCATAACATTAGGAAATTTGTTTTGTATAGGATGTAGAGAAATGTACTGTATGTTTCTCAACATACAGTATCCAGCCACAGATAAGTCTTAAAAGTTCAGACTGACTAGAAGCCTTTATCCATTTCTTAACAGATTCTTTCTTGTTCTTAATAAGGACTAAAAGGTCTAAAGGAATTGAAAATACTGCCTTTATTGCCCTCTAATGGTGAGATGAGCTTTGGTACAAGTAAAAAGCAAATGCTAAAATCTGTTTAACCAGTGATAACACCCAGGATCTTATATAAACATAGGTAGCTGTCATACAGAATCAGATCATTAGCTCAGATCTGGAAGATGCTAGGTGAGTCTTTCAGACAAATCCAGATTTTCTATTGGAGGCATTTTTCATGCAAGGTAATAAAGAATGTGCCTGGAGCCATCTGCATAACTAACATGTAGTTTAACTTTGAGCCATGGCCCTGTCATATTCAGTTATTTGGGTGCTGCAACATTTGTTCTTGAGTCATTGTGAATGACTGTAGCAGTGCTTGGGAGAGAATTGAAAAAATATATAATTATTATCCTCCTTCAGAATGGCTGCTGGTATAATAGAGAAGATTTTCACAAACAATGTTAATTTTGTGAACACTTCTCCAGTTTCGTTGTGACATGTCCTTCACCACTTTGTTTCATACCTTTGTGCAAAACTCAACATTGAGACACAAAGCAGGTCAGGGGAAATCCCCCAGGGGTCTCACCAGTAGACAGAGAGAGACAGACAAAGTTTGCAACTGGTTTGTGTTTCTTCCTTAATATTCAAAACACAATCTGACATAACCATTATTTATTGCATGGGGAATCAGGTCTGCTCTAAATTGTTGAGACATCCTATTTCATCTCAGAATGGAAACGAATGGGCAATCTCCTCTAGAATGTTCTTGAAAAAAGACAAAATGAGGTGAATTTGTGTCTGTGTTACATTTCATTTCAAGAACAAAATCTTAGAGGCAAGGCAAGATGTTTCGAGAGTGCTTCATGAAGCAAAATGATTTGATTGAAACAATCTGCTGCTTTCCAAAGCCTTTGAGCCCCAGAATTATTCCAATTCTGTTTATCATTTTTAAGGGAAAAATTCAGGAATTGGGGAGTTATCCTACTATTGTATCTGCAGCTAATTCATTTACTTTTAAATTTAATTAAATCAGATGTAATCCTGGTCACACTCCTTTTATGTATCTTACTTCTGGCATGCTATTCAGAAAAATGATACACTATTTGGCCCCTAAAAGATTTGTACCCTGACTTTAAAGGAAACACAGCCCAACCACACAGCATCAAAAATAGGGCTATATCAATTCAGCTTCCCACATTTAGCCCTGGTCATATTAAAATATTTCCACATGCGGACATCCTGGACAATTGGCTTTGAAGTTTCATTTGAACCAAATATACTTGGTGGGGCTACAAGATGGTCTATAAATCTGTAGCATCTCAAAGCTAGCAGAGCATTAAACCTCCTAAGAATTTCAACTTCCTTTTTCGTTTTAAAAAAGCACATTTCTATTCTGAAAAACAACTTGAAAACAAATGTTTGATTCTTGGTGATGAGGACGGTCAATAGTTTACAGGCAAAAAGAAGTGTGTGTCTTTATTTCCTGACTTTGTTCTAAAGAGATCAAGTCAAGTCATCATGCATAGAAGTCATCTCATGTGTCATTTGTTAACAAACCGTCATAACCCTGTGAGGTAGGCTGGGCAGAGAGCAAATGTTTCAAAGTAATCCCATGAGCTATATGTCAGATAGAGCTATGGTGGGGTAGTAAGCATGCTCTTCCTCAGGGTATCTGACAGAGACAAAGAATCTGAAAGTTTTGTAGTCACTCTCCAGCAGTATGGAAGCCCAATACATCTGGCTGAGTATGGAGATGTCTTTGCTTTCCCAAGAGGTTTCCAATCATGTCTTTCCTTCTCTAGGTATACAGGAGCCATTTTCCTTTCTTCTTCAGGATTAGTGGAGAGCTGGCAATGGAAATCATTAAGAAGGAAGGAGATACCTCTGAAGAGCTCATTTAACCAGACTTAGGATATGGTATTCTGGGTTTCATCCTTTCCAAAGGATACTTTTGGGATCTTAATTTAGTTTATTTGAAGCATGAGGCAGATATCAATAAGAAATCAACATAAATATAAATACTGATAAGTATTTGAGTTATTCTTGGCATTTGGTGACTTTATGCATGTTCTTGCATTATTTTCTTGGCAATAATATAGAAACATAGATCTGGCTTTGCTTAGCTTTTGGAGAGGAGCCATGGCTGGGTGGATTCTACCCCCTTTCTGGTCGAAGCACAGATAACTGATGAAATACACAGGAACTGTGCCAGTGTCACATTTGCTGCAAGAGCATTTTTTCCCACTTTTTGTCTTTTGTTCAGGCTGTCAAGAGGCTTTCCGTTGATCTCTATCTTGTAACGGACTTTGCCTTTTGGCACTGAGGATAAATGGATGAAGGTTGACTCTCCTCTCCAAGGATCAGACCCATTTACTTCTTATCACAGACAATCTGCACTCACATACCTTTTCAGCGCCTACGTTGTGCATTCATTATCTTGCTCTTTTTTCTCCTTCTGCTCAACCATATTGATTCTCAGAAACTGCTTGGAGGAATCTGCTGTTTCTTTGGTGAGGTTTTCCAAAAGTGATTGGCTATTGTGTGAAAATGGCTGGCCCAAGGTCACCCAACTTCCTTTGTGCCTAAGGCAGGACTAGAACTCACAGTCAACCAGTTTCTAACGTGATGCCTTAACCCCTACAACAAACTGTCTCTCAATCTTGCTTCAACTGACTCTTTTGCATCCTCTAATCTCTTAAATAAGACCCATGTATGTGAATGAAGTCTTCTTTACATGTTGCTGATAAAATAAAATTTAAAAAATGAGCTTGCTTTTTCACTCAGAACACATTAGCTGATGGCCAGCGTATATCCATTTACAACAGCCCACAAGATTTCTATTCATTCAGAAACACAAGGGACTAGAAGCACCAGATCATGATTCTCTTCTTTTCTTGGCAGAGGGACAATGATGTCCTTTCTTCATGAGCTGTGAATTCCATAACAGATGGATCATACATCATGTCTTCCTTCACTTAACCATCGAGCCCGATATGTTGTCCACCCTCTTGGGCTCTTATTTGTTTGGGAATTAGTAAATATTTGAGCCAACCTGGCTTGGACCTTGCCTTGCCAGTTGTAGTCATCAAATTCAGTGGCAGCAGCCAAGGCCAAGAAGAAATAATTGGCTGCATCCTGCTCATCCTGAGAATAAAAGGAAAGAGATAAAAAGTAAAGCACTGGAAGGCACTTCCAGTCAAGGCTGAAAGAATAGTAGGGATGAAAAATGGTCCACTGCCTAAGAAATTTAGAAGAACCTTTCAACACTCACTACAGGAGCCTTACTTCTGCTCAGTGCCAGCTGACTCCAATTTGGCGGTTTGAATCTCAGCAGGCTCAAGATTGACTCAGTCTTCCATCCCTCCGAGGTCGGTAAAATGAGGACCCAGATTGCTGGGCCCAAACTGCTTACAGGTGGCTATAAAGCACTGTAAAGCGATATATAAGTCTAAGTGCTATTGCTATTGCTACAGATTGGAACCTCGCATGGCTTTTCCAACTCTAACAAAACATCAATTTCATACATATTAAATACAACTAATAAATACAAAATAATATAATATGTATGAAGGGACATTCCTAAGAAGTCTGTAAGGGGCGTGCATAAGTGCACCAGCGTGCCTACCGTCCCTGTCCTAATATTCCTTTTTACTTATTCTTTTCATGTATTCAAATTATGTTTATACTTTTACATGTTATCTTATATATGCTTGACAAATAAACTTATGATTATGATTATGTGGGGAGCTCCTGAAGGGGCAGGATCAGTGGTGGGCTCCTCCCGGTTCGGTCCGGTTTGGCCGAGCTGGTAGCGGTGATGATATGACGTCACCGAACTGGTTCTCCCCCCCGCCCTCCTACCCCCTACCCCCCCACATTATTCTTACCTTTTATTTGGTCCCACCCCCAATCTATTGCTGCCTCCTGAGTCCCAGCTGATGACTAGAGGGAAAAAAATTGTTTAAACTCTTGCCGCGGGGCTTCAAAGGGCCATCCTACAGCTGATCAGTGTTAAAAGCAAACAAATGAGTCGGGTCGTAAGTGCGAGGACTGGTCGTAAGTGCGAGGACCTTCCAGAAATGACTCTGACCAGTTAGCCATGCCCACCTAGTCACATGACCTCCAAGCCACACCCACAAAATAAGTCACGCCCACAGAACCGGTAGTAAAAAAAAATTTAGAACCCACCCCTGGACAGGATGGAGCTACTGAAAATCATACCCGAAGTAAGGGTATTTAGAAAGGGAATGGCAACTGCAGAACAAAATAAGGAGAGCATCAAAAGTAGAAGACAACAGGATGGCATATTATAAATTATGAACAGTTAACAGCCTGCAATCCAAGCCACGTGTAGTTCTTCCAAGCAGCGTGTGAAGCTTCCAGAACCCTTCCAAATTAGAGCTTATCAGATCTGGACTGAAAAACCTCTGATGAATAATAAAGGGCAAAAAAAAGATTCAGAGAGTTCTAGTCTTTTACTGACATTTAGTAATTTCTTGGAGATAGTTACATTCTGGCTCTCATTGCTATACTCCAAAGTGCAACGAAACGTCTATTTTAATTTGAAAGAAGATGAGCAATTATTGAATGTATGAGAAGGGATCACAGAGGCTCAATTTAACTGAAATGGAATAAAGTAAAATTTAGCTTTTATCCTAGCTTGGAAGCATAGCCCTTTGAATGATTTGTCATTCGAAGGCCAAAGTTTGGACATTAGCCTTTTGTAAACTGAAAAAAGTATTAACTGAATAAAAGTGACTTGGAGGTCCAGAAAATGGAATAGTTGCTGACATTGCAGCAAAGAAAAAATGCACCCATTCAATATTTTCACAACATTCTGTATACCTTCACTTTTTAAGTGCAAAGTAAATCAAACCAGAACACCTTTGCTAAAATGCAACAGGTCATTATTACGTTACAGATGCTATCTTTCACCTTTAATTTGTGGAGAGTGAGATCTCCCAGCCGGTAGTAAACCCTGGAGTAATATATGGCTTCTTGAACCCCTTGCAATTCTGGTGAATGCAAAGAGAGAGTCCTCAGGTAGCAGTCTTCAGCCATCTCATACATTTGCAGAAGGTAATACACGGTTGCCAGCCGATGAAAGGCAACCAATTCTTGCAAATGATCTCCTGGAAGAAGAAAAGTGTCAAAATAGCATAAATTGGGCAATTGTAAAGGCTGGAACATTTGTAACTCTCCCCTTCCTCCTAGAGCCCCAAAAGACCATGTTCTCTGAGCAGCAACATTTCAATTGTTTCCTGCCCAGTTCCCAGGAGTTGTGAAGACTGCAACATGCTCCCTTGCCACCACCTTTTTGTTCCCCCAGAAGTTAATGTGCAGTGCCAATTCCGCATGCTGAAAAGTTTCACAGTAACAGCCATAACAATCAATGCAAACAATTGTTATTTATGCACATTCCTAATGTCATAAAAAATTCAATGATAGGGAAGAAATGCCAATTTCATATAGTAGGCATTAAACAGTCCATTGCTACAATCTTGAAAAATGTGCATACAATGTTTCCATAGGCACAATCATTCACAGCGGAAATGAAAAAAATTGAAAGAAAGATTCCTTGCTTGAAACATGATAATGTAGACTATTAAATTTTACTGCGATGAAATTAGACGTGCCATCTTCAAAAGCTCACGCAGAAATATTCTACTCTAGGGGAAAAAAATATGTTGTTCCATGTTGAGCAGTTACACAACAAAATGAAGATGGCAAAAACGACAAAGATACGTGAAATAATCAATTTGATAGGAACACATTCCATTTGCTTTCAGTTAAGAATTTCTAGGCTATTACTTGCAATATCATTGTCAACTAAATTCTGTATCCAAAAACAAGCAATGTTTTGTACAATGCCGACTGAGTAATCTCTGACTGGGACATCAGAAGGAAGGATAAATTTATCTACTAATTTTTTCCTAGTGGTTGTGGATTCATAAAATCTGTGAAGAACCATTACTTTGATTCTAAATGAAGTCAAGTATAATAAATGTCTACTTACCTTTGTAATCAGATTTTGTGCCTTTTAAAATATTTACTGAGGCTAACTTGAGTATTTTAAATTGACTTGGGTGCTACCAAATTAAATTCCAGTATTTCCACATTTTAAATTGGCTTGGGTGAGACCATCTTCTAAGAGATGTATGTTGGTTATTTTTCTACTCACCAATCATTGACAATTTTCAGAAAATGAATTTAATATTCTTGCGTTATAAACCTTGATTCCTTCCTACCTACATCCACGCTGAGTCTGACTGCCAAGGTAGCAAATTCCAAAGCATTTTCATAATTGTGGAGCCCAATTTGGAGTTCAGCTAGCTTGTTGAACACTCTCAATTCCGTTTGTGTGTCTCTCAATTTCCTGGCCAAAGGTATAGCTCCTCCCTGGTAAAAACATCAAACAATTTGTCATGGTGGTTTCATAGCCATCTACTATCCATCCTCCCCCTGCAGCCAACCAAGAGTCCCTCAGAGAGGTCACACAAAGCAAAGAAGACCTGACCATGCATTCAGTCTCTTTGATAATCATTTTCCATAGCATCATTTTCTTATAACTGAAATGAACAAATCTCACAGTTTTCATGTTTATAGATAAAAAGTGCAAACATAACTTTCGTGGATTCTCATTTAACCTTCTCTTGAACTTTAGATGAACCTGAGATCATTTTGCTTTTTGTTTCCTTGTTTTGGGCAACTGGATGGCTGCCCATTTGGCTTTTGCCTAGAAACAGATTTAAGTCTATTTAATTCAGCAAAATTAAAGCCTTCTGTCACTATATATTTAACACAGTTTGCACACATTGTTTAATATGAAAGAAAAGGCTACTGTTGGATCAGTCAGACCATTATAGACTTTCAGGAAGTGGGCATTTTTTTCTAAAAAATATATCTTGATTTCTTATTTTTAAAGATGAAAGGGCTAAACATTTTCTCTTTTCTTTTTTTAAAAAAGGGAACAACTTCATTAATGCTTTGAACACTTAAAAAGAGAAGGTAAGGTTTTGTTACTACAAAGGGGGAAAGGGCAAACACACACAAAGAAAGAGAACTCTTGCTTTCTTTGTAGTTAAAGATATTTAAGTAAAGTTTTCGAATGCATCCCTCAGTACAGATGGAAGGGACACTTCTTGCAAGGACCATCATCAAGCTGTCAAATCAGGGATGCTATTCAGCAGGTTCTGACAGGTTCTGGAGAACCGGTAGCAGAAATTTTGAGTAGTTCGGAGAACTGGCAAATACCACCTCTGGCTGGCCCCAAAGTGTGGAGTGAATGGAGATTTTGCAATATCCTTCCCCTGCAGTGCCCACCAAGCCACACCCACCAAGCCATACCACGCCCACCAAGCCATGCCCACAGAACTGGTAGTAAAAAAAAATTGAATTCCACCATTGTGTCAAATGCCACAGTTGCACTGAACTGCATTTTTACCCTAGCAATCAGCAGCAGCAATCCAGGTTTCTTAAAAAAAATTGCTTTTCCAATATTACTTGATGGTATCAGGGATTGAACCAGTGACCTTTTACAGTCAAATCATATGTTGTATCATGAAGGCATGAATAAAATAAAAGGATGATACATACACAAAGAGCAACAAGAAGAAAATTCCTCACCACGACCTTACTTCCACAATTAACAACCACAACACAATCTGTGGTCCTCTCACCTTCACTGCCATGCCTAACTATACCCCCAGATTCCAGTATGTTTATTTTCAGCCAGCAATATTAGCACATACGCATAGAATGAATCACTGGAGCAGATTGGTGGTTCCCCCCATGATTTCTGTCTGATGTACATCTCATTTTCCACTTTCTACTTCTGCACAGTTTCTTTCCATCAATGTTAGTAACACCCACTAGTGGCAACCTCTAGAGATGTCAATACAAATATATCTTGTAGTTGGTACCCTGTAATATTCCAGTGCCTGGTGCCTGTTCTTGAGTCCATTGAAGAAGACATCTCCTGCCTCTTCATATAAACCCATGGCCAGGTGCAGCTCTTTGGGTTTCAGTGCTGTCTCTATGGATGCCTGAAAAGGGGAACCAGTGAGGTTAATAGCTGAGGCAATACCATCAGGGCAAAAAGGTGAATGTTTCTCAAAACAACTCAAGACATTTCAATTTAGCTGCATACATTTTAAGGCTCCTATGCATAACAAAATACAGAACGCTTCATGACAATTTTTTTATTTCAATGGCAGAGACCTCATAACTCCGAAAGAAAAAGTGGAAATCAGGTGCGAAAGATTCAAAAATCTCTCCATACAGAGAGATTTCCATTGCTCAGTGATATGTACCCTCTTATTTTACTTCGTAACATTCAGTTCTCCTTTTTTTTTTTTTGTAGTTTGATGTTCATCACGCTAATGTTCTACTCAACCTCCTCTTACTTTTTACTACCAAATCTCTGAAATCACCACATTACAAAATCTAAATTCTGCACCCAAAATCTATGACAAATGAAAGTCATAGATTTTCAGTATTAAATATTACATAATCCAATATTAAACACTAATATTTAATATGATGTAATATTAAGATAAGTGTGCAATATGTAATTGCACATTTCGTATAAAGCTTTGAGCACAAAACATGCATATGTGCAATGCAGAAGATCTGTGGTTCAGCCAAGATCCTATATCTTGGCTGAATCACAGCCATATTTATATAATCTATCTATCTATCTACCTATCTACCTATCTATCTATCTATCTATCTATCTATCTATCTATCCATCCATCTTAGCTAGAGAGATATTTACTGCCATGGTTAGTGATGCTTTGTATTGTTAGACACTGACTCAGCATCCTCATGTGCCAGACACAGATGAAAACTCACATTTTATAAAGATTGATTAGTGATCTGTGTTATCCAATGATTTAAATCATACTTCTGCAATAATCTTTTACAAAGTGGTTAGATTAAAAAGTGACAACTAGTAAAAAAGACCAAGCAGGGGGATACCAACTTAGAAAATAACTTTTTTATGTACCTGTAAATACATTTCCACAAGTTCATTCTCTTGCATTTGATAATAGAGTTTACCAGCCTGTAACCAGGCCTGGGCTGTTTTAACAGTTTCCTCCAGGTCAATAAATATTCTGAGGCTCTGCTTGGTACAGTCCAATGCCTGTTTCAAAGATCTGTTGGATTTACATGTATTTCATTATTACAAAGAAATTAGTGAAACTCATGCATGGTCAGAATAAACTGCCCCATTTTAATCCACTCTATATAACATCCCTTACAAGAAACTGTATTGTGACCTTTATACAGACTGAATTCTTTCCTTTGGTTTTAAATCCAATGGAGAAATTCTTTTAAGCAGATGGACCTTTAAATAGGTCTTTAAACAAGTTCTTGTTCTAAAGATACACTCTTAATGAAAGGACAACTGGACTGCCACTAATGTTTCATGGCAAAATGGTATCACTCTATGTGGTACATGTTTCCCCTATCTGTCATGTTGAGACACACTATAGAAGGAGTTTCAGGATGATGCATGACCTGTTCACTACAAACGACACATGTGAAATGTATATATATGAACACCGCAACCCTGGGACGTGTTGCCCTCATCTTGCAGGGTGTGGGATATCTGCTCATTGGTACATTGTGTTATCATTTTTTTCTGTCACTTGAAATGGAAGAATTTTACCCCATCTTCCAAATAGCCCAAATAAATGTGGACTAAGGTAAAGGTAAACTCGCACACGGAATGCTGTTACCTTCCCATCAAAGGTGGTCCCTATTTTTCTACTTGCATTTTTTACGTGCTTTCGAACTGCTAGGTTGGCAGAAGCTGGGACAAGTAATGGGAACTCACCCCGTTACACGGCACTAGGGATTTGAACTGCTGAACTGCTGACCTTTTGATTGACAAGCTCAGTATCTTAGCCACTGAGCCACCATGTCCCTCAAAATATGGACTACCAGGGATTAAATTTGGGCTTTTGAGAGAGGGAGGGAGAGAGGGAGGGAGGGTGGGAGGGAGGAAGGAAGGAAGGAAGGAAGGAAGGAAGGAAGGAAGGAAGGAAGGAAGGAAGGAAGGAAAATTTCAACAGAACATTAGCTGTCTCGCTCTGAGATTCTTTAACATTCACTACAGATGAAAAGATAGACAGACAGCCTAAATCAATAACAAAAGAACAATCACTATATCACAAGCTGCTAATAATTTCTCCTAATGTGATATGAATATGATATATGATATGATATCATTTGACATGATGTCATAGGATATGATACTCATATGATCTCTGGAGTGTGATAGTTCTTTAAACAGGAATTGGTATAGCACAACCTGTTACTAAAAGGCATGCCTACTTGCAAACTGGTTCTTATTTCTATTATTAATACTATCAACTATTAATGCTAGTTGTTGAGTGGTACCCCTGAAAAAAGAAGTCATATAATCTATGAAAAACACACATGAAGGAAGAAGACAGGATCTGTAGCAAGGGGACATAATAAGAAACAATTGAAAAGTGATCATAGCTAAATCTAAATTGTTATTATATATAAAATCCATTCCATTATGAACCACACCACACCACCAAAAATTAACATTAAACAATAAAGCTGCAAGAAACACATTCAAGAGATTTAAAAAATAATAAGGAAACAGGTTATTTGCTTTTTTAAAATTATTACTATACGGTTTAGAAATCACGTTATGAAGAGACAGTTTCCAAGATTTTGGATAGCAAGAGAAACCCCAAGGAGATATAACATAGCAAACTGCTTTCTTCAAGCACAACAAATCTTGAAGAAAGATGAGAACCAAGCATAAAGCAATCCATTCTCTTTAGTTCGTTTGCCCTATTCATTTTCCTCTTTCTCAAAAAATTCCAAGCGGCATCATTTTTATTATCTTCCATTCATACTAACTCTTGAGTGGCATATATTCAGGATAGCACATGCATTCATTTAAGGGGCAAGATCATAAGCCACTGACCTCTTTGTGCTTCTTTTTGTGACCTATGGAGTCTTTAAAGCTAGAGAATTCTCACTGTTGCCTTGGTTGAGGGATATAGGCAGTGCTATTTCGTCTGCTTTTAGATGCCTTTCCTCAAAGGTTAGGCTCTAGAGATTACAAAGCAACTGTCAGGTAGCACTGCAGGTGAATCAGTGACAATCTTCAGAGATCAAGAGGGTAGACCAGCATTTCTCAGTCTTGGCAACTTTACCATTTGTGGACTTCAACTCTCAGAATTCCCCAGCCAACTGGAGAATTCTGGGAGGTGAAGTCCATACATCTTAAAGGTACCAAGGTTAAGAAACACTGGGGTAAACACATCATTAGATCCATAGGGTATCCATCTCTGAAATCGATGTGCTGTTTGTATCCAAAATCAACAATGGCTATGTTACCAACATGTAATCTTTTTTTCTAGTGAATTCATTAAGAGCCTTGGTAGCACAGTGGACTAATGCACTGTTATTAACATCTGCTGCTTGCAATTACTGCAAGTTTAAATCCCACCAGGCACAAGGTTGACTCAGCCTTCCATCCTTTCAAAGGTAGGTAAAATGAGGACCCAGATTGTGGGGGCAATAAGCTGACTTTGTATAAATATATAAAAGTATGAAGGCTATTGCTTAACGCATTGTAAGAGGTCCTGAGTCTCCGGAAAAGGGCGGCATAAAAATTAAAGCAAAAAAAAAAAAAAAAGATTACTCCCCTCTCATTCTATCTCCAAGCTATCCATAATAGGATAGGCTTAAAATCTTGCCTCTGACTTCCTGCAAATGTAGATTTCCAACATCCCTCTCCCCTTTTGTAGTTATGTCAACATTGCCTTGTTGTGAAGAAGCCTAGTGCTTTTGAAAAAAGGGGAAATATGTCTTTGAAGCAGGTAATTAGAAACAACTTCAATATGTATAAGTAAACAACAGGGGAAAAGGAATAACCTTGAGAAAGAGAAGGAAGAACTGCTATGAAGACAATGGGAAGATAAAAAAAAATCTGGGCTGGGCAGATCAGTAACCTGAGTAAGCATTTTAGATAGAAGTCTTTCTAGTTCTCAGGTAGATAAACTGAAGGAGGGGGAAAATACATTCAAATTCGCAAGATTCTGTTATTATAAATTTGTAATAAAAGTGATGTTAGTATATGTAACTCAAGTTTCCAAGACTGGCCTATCTTGGAGGGCTGATAAAGTACATTGATGCAATTGCCAGTCAGAAGCAATGGGAGAGAGATTAGAACTTAATATTGTTTTTATTTAATTCTTTTCCTTTTTATATTTTTTAATTCTTTTCTCTTTTTTCCTTTTCCCTTTTCTTTCTTTTATATAATTATGTGCATTTATTTTTAGAACAATGACAAATAACAACGTTATCAATATTGATCTCAGAATCTTATAGAGATTTTAACTTTTTTCTTAAGATAATATATGGAATCCAGGTCTATATATTTAATTAACAAATTAATGAAATATCAAGTTAATGCATTTTAAATTTTATGATAACTATCCATCTTTCTTTGCTGATATTTATTTATTCCCCACATTTTTTTTGCCTTTTTTTTTCTTATGCAGCTATTTATTCTGTTCTTTAAATATTTCAAACAAATTATTTATTAAAAGAAAAAACAAAGGAAAAGGTGGGAACTTGAAACAAGTGAACCACTATGACAAACCTAGTTTGAAATTTCTGGTGACAGATACAGATTTTCTCCTGTGCACTCACACACTCCTCTTTGGATCTTGGTTATTGTATGTAGGCCCAGTGTCTTTTTTCAGTCATTTGTTACAAGGCATATTAATATGTCTACACTTGTTAACAAAGGAGTTCTGAACTGAATGCACAGTAAATATATTAACATTCTGCATCTGAATGCAGAATTGTTTCTACATCTTTTTTAAAAGCAAGTAAATCTTTGTATATACTTTCTTTTTGCCTCTTTCCTTATATTGAAGATGTCTCTGCCATCTATATTTATCTGGCAAGTGAACATATACGACTGATGAAGTGATTTCTGGTATACCAAGAGAAAACATGCTCTGCTTTAAAGTGTCACAGATCTGTGCCGATTTTCTCAGCGACCAAGACAACTAAACACGGGAGAATATTTCATTCTTCCTAAATGATACATATAAGCTAATAATATCAAATTACTATTATTTATTTTTTAAAGATTTCTTTCCCCTTCCTTCTTTCCAAAATGTTTAAAGCATCTGACATTAAAATCAATGGCAGAGAATGCACTAAAACCGAATGAATCTTTTTGAAAAGATTCTAGTGATGATCTGGTGTTCAATGGATTATAAACAGTGGAACTCATGCCACTTGGGCATAAAGGCATCAATATTCTAGAATTTCATGCTTTAAATATTACTGTTTTTCATTTAAAAATGATAAAAGGGAATTGCTTAATGACAAAATCCAATGTAACCGAAGCACTGTTCAAAATATTGCAACACTTTGAGCCCTAGTCATTATTTCAACATTTAACAGGGAACCTGAGTGCTGACTCACCTGGGTGTATGAAAACTTTGGTAAAGTTGGCTGAGGTCCTGTAGAAGGTGTCCTTCTTTTTCTCTGTCCTGAAGTTGCCGAGCTAGAAGAACTTGGTGCTCATGGTATAGAATGCAGGCTCTGCTATCAGGATGCACTTTACTGTAGAAATGGCAGAGGGACTCAGTGACACGAAGTTGACCTAAATAGCATCAGATAAGACAGATATATATATATATTAAAAATTGCCAAATAAATAACAAACTTGACTTGACCTGACCAACTTCCCCAAAGAATAAGTACTCACTTATCACATTTTGAGTCTTCAAGGCAATGGCCAAGGCCAGCTCATAAAAGATGATGCCTTCTTCTGCCTTACACCTCTCTACCTTGGACTGAGCCAACCATAACAAAATGTGCACCAGTTCCATTTGTGTATCATCACCATCCTGGAGTTCAAAGTACAACTGAATGGCCTGGAGAAAATAGTATTCTCCTAAACAGTAAGCCCCCAAAGACGTGATAAGGCAACCAAAGTTGGCTAAGGCAATGGCTTGGTTCCGCTGATTTCCATTTTCCTGGGCTTTCTTCAAGGCCCAAAAGTAGTTCTCTGCTGACTTTTGGACCTGCCCTTCTCTTTTAAGGGCAATGGCTAAAAGATTGTGAACCACCCCATCTTGTGTGATGCTGTCCGTCTGCCGCAGAGAACACAGGAGGTATTGCATGATCTCTGAGGTCTTGTCTGGCTGACTGTTCAAAGTAAACAGCCACCCCAAAGAAAGGGATGCTTCAAATGCTTCTTCTTCACCCATCACTTTACCTAGGGCAACAGCTTGGTTGGAGTAATGCACGGCTTTTTCTAGCATGCCGTATTTGAGGTACAATTTGGATAAAAGTGCACACAAGGCCTTTTCAGTTGATACAGTCCCAGCTTCGTGGGAAAAGGACAACCCGCAATGCAGATAGAAGCAAGCCAATGCTGAGATGCCGTTGTGGCTTTTCTCTTGGACTTTCAAGAGTTTAGAGGTGTTTGCAAGGATGAATCCAGCTCTCCAAATGGGTGTGAAGCCATCTTTTATATTGCTAGGGGAGAACATCCTGGCAGCCGCCAAAGCTACATGGGGCACATACTTTTTTTCATACAGATAGGCAAGAAAAGGCATTGTATCTAAAGGATATGCACTGGTAACCTGGCTGGTGAGCTGTGCATTCAGAAACTGCAAGCGTTCTGCAAAAGGAAGAACCTCATCATATTTGCCCAGCTGCAAGAAAAGTCTGACAATGAGGAAACAGGACCTAATCTCCATTGTTGTGTTGCCTACAGCAATGGCTTCTCTCAGAATGTACATCACAACCTCTAGTTCAGCCTCAGAACTGAAGCAGTGTCCAGACAAGCAGGCCAGAAGTGTCATCCCTTTCCCAATCATCGATAAGAACTTTTGCTTCATCTTTTGCTTTAAATAAATGGCAGCCAGGTTTGCATGCAATGATGTAAGTAGAGGTAGATCTTCAAACCCCTTGTCCATAGCATTCATGGCTTCCTCGAAGTAAACTCGTGCTTGGGAGAACTTGGCCTTCCTGACACAGAGGCGGCCCAAAAGATAGCATATCCGAATGTGAGCCCAAGCAAGGTGGCCCCTCTTCGCCCAGTTCCTGGATGTTTCCAGATATATGACTAACTCCTCTTCATTGGTGAAACCATAGAAGGTAGAACTAAGGAAGGAAAAAGAGAGGTCATACAGACTTTGGAAATGAGGCACATAGCTATCTTGATTGAGGAAAGTCAGTATAGGATCAAACACATCACAGTCTTCCATATGCCCAGCATTTAGATCAATAAAGAACTTGGGGTCATCAAGGTCATCTGGCTCTGGCAGAAGTAAGTGTTCAAGGATGGAAGGTGAAGATTCAACCACTGGAGTTGACTTCTCAGAATCAGTTTGAGTAAATAAACTGTTATAAGATTGCTTCCCCCAATTTTCAAACATCCAACCATTCTTATGTCCATGTACAGCAGCATCTGAAAATGATCAATAAAGTACAAAGATATGATTCCCTTTATGGTGATATATTTCAGGGAAAAAACCCATCCCATTTTCCCTTTCAACCATACTCACCTGATGGTCTTCGTGGATACATCGCAATAGGTTCAAAGCCATCTGTGTAATCAAGAAAAATGAGAGAAATATTCAAAGGAACCCACTACAAGGTCAAAGGTCAAACTTCAAACTTGGCATTATAATAAAAAAAAACTTAAGTTGCTTCATTCAAAGCATACACAAAAAAAAATGAAGTCCAATCTTAGCTTGGGAGATATGCTACAAGGAAAGAATACAATGAGTGTAAGGATTATAAAGCTATATGACTGTACTACAATGAAGGGAGAGTACACTGTAAATTCTGAATTAGATCAACTTGTTCATTTTCTACATTGGAAATGTCATTAAAAACAACAGAAAACTCTGTTCAATCCTATTGTTCAACTGCCCTTTGATGTGACAGAGCACAGGGCCACTTTGAAGATACTGCAAGTTCAGTTCCAGATCACATCAAGTGAATTTTGCAATAAAATAAATCACACAATTATTTTGCTTTCCCATTGCATAATATAAAAGTTACGTTTTTACACTATATGTAGTCTATTAAGTGTGCAATAGCATTAGGTCTAAAAATGTACATACCTTAATTAAAAACTTTTTTTATTGCTAAAGTGATTAATAATAATGAAAAAAGTTTGAAATATTATGAGAATTACTAAAATATGATGCAAAGACAATGAAGTGAGCAAATGGTATTGGAAAAATGGTGCCAGCAGATTTGTTCAATGCAAGGTTGCTGCAAACCTTCAATTTGAATTCAGAAAGGCAGTATCTGCAAAGCACAATAAAGCAAAGCAGAAGAAAATGTAGTACCATATGCCTATGTAACTGTTAACAGGTGATAAATAAAATTGAGTAGGGTATGGGGCATAAAACCTGATGAGCAAGGAGGTGTTATCAGATACATAGGCATATACTGTACTCCAATCACATCTGGAGGAGAACTTAGTGTGATATGTTGACAAGACTGATGGCCTTGGTTATATCTTCCTTATTACATCTCATCTTCCTGCTAATATGTCTACTAAAAACTAAAGCACATAGACACCATCAACATGACATCAAACTATCTCCTGAGTATTTTTCGATAATAATATTCTATCAGAAGATAAATAGTATAAAGATAGGGAGTAGCAGAAAATTTGGGAACAAGAAAGAGACATTAGAAAGAGACAACATCTAGAGATATGGAGACATACCCAGTCTATATACAGAGGTGATGTCTGTCTGTGCCCATTCATTAAGAAGATTACTGTAATATACCTCATTGCCATTACATGGAGCCTGGAGGAAGGCAGAAATTTCTTCACTAAAAAACACTGGGCTCTTTCTCCTGTGTTGGGAATGAAAGGGCAGAGAATGGTCAGTTAGTGCTGAATATCTTTTATGTTGCCAGACTCCACTTAACTTTTGCAATGGTGGCGAATATCTGTAGCTCGGGTGAAGGATGAGGGTAGAGGTTTGTTCTCAGAGCTTGTGGGTTGGTTTCTGAACATTTCAACCCTGACATCCTCTAAACTCTGTTGAGTTTAGAGGATTACCTAGCCTAGTAATGAAACATTCGGAAACTAACCCAAAAGCTTGGGGAACAAACCTTCACCTTCACCACTTACCGTTTTCCTGCTATAAATGCAGAAAGAAAAACCCAGATCTTGCAATCTAGTATTAAGACTAGAAAAATCCAAGCACATATCCCCATCATTCCTAAAACTAAGGGATGATCTTGCACCATTTAATGACGAAACCAACCCCACAGGGCCATTGCTGAAAAAAGTAGCTGGAGGATAAATGGGTGTGGAAAATGAATGTGGAAAATGTATAGAAAGCAAGGTATCTGATTGACATCCCGAGTTATGTTTTTAAAAAGGCTCTTGAAAACATCTCAGCTATGTCTTCTCCTGCAGTTCAAAGTCCAGGTTTTTTTTTTCTTCCTATGGCAAAGAGGTGTCACTTAACAGTTAAGTAAGGATGGATTCAAACACACACTAAAGACATTCAAAACCTTCTCTGGTAGTGATGCTTGCAATGAAGTTTTTTAACAAAAGCAACCAAAGGAAAAATATATTGGAAATATACAGGGAGAGAGACAAGTATTGTATCTATTATTCAACTTAGCTGTTCCGAATGACAATTATACAGCCGAAAGTATTGATTAGAAAAACATATTAACATAGATTTCTTTTTTTACTCAAAGCTGTTTGCTGTTGTGTCATTCTTCAGAGGTTTTCTCCCATTTTTTAAAACTACAGAACCTATAAAAACATACTTTACGGGTTTTTACAGGTATTTTTAGTTTTCCAGATTTCTGCAATAATAACAGGAATTGAATTGATTTCTTATATTATATTAATGTATATACCAGGAGAATACAAATAATAAATTAATAAAAGAATCTTTAATGGAGTACTGGTTGGTGAATTCTCCATATCTTCAGTGAAACGGACTGAGTAATTGAGGACTGATACTATTGATATGCCAATTTTCATACAATTCTACCAACACACAAGTGTTTGGAGGTGGCAGCCGTGGCACAGTTTATATACTTGCATCAGGTGATGTGACCCAAGTTCTGAGTAGTAGCCTTTGTACAGTTATGCCATGTTTCACATCATTCTCCCTTTGTGTATTATTACAGCACAAAAACAGTCTAAAGAGAATACAACTAAATAGACCAGTTTTATCAGACCTTTGAACTATTTTCCTTTTGGATGATACACTAAAATGAATGTAAAGGCACAAAAGGCTCCAATGGCATTCATCAAATCCAAAATTATCTTCCCAGATTTAATTTGTTAAAGAAAACTTGTCATGTTTAGTTTTATATATAAATGTTAAAATTCCTTTGCCATTAAAGGAATCATATATATATAGCATTCTTCAAATATTGTTAACAGGCTCCACTGATTATACTTAGATATTTTATGTAAAATATAAGTTTCTGCTTTCAATCATTTAGCATGCAGTTCAATGGCCACTTATCTGGAAGTAAATCTCATTGGAAGATGTATAAATCTGGGCATTTACAATCCATAAAAACTGGCAAAGAAGTATAACACAAAGCAAGGTTCCTTTCAGGGCATTAGCAAAGTTACGATCTTGTGGAAGACAATACCGACACCTTGTGGCCACCACAATTTCACACGACTACAATGTTTTTACAGACAAGAAGACATTAACTCAAACATAAATTTGCACTTGGTAGAAATGCATTCTCCATTGTCTTTGGCACTGATGGCACACGTAAGTATTGTTTGTTTGTTTGTTTGTTTGTTTGCATTAGCATTCCACTCCAGTGGAAGTAACAGGAAATCAAATCATAATAACTACTCAATAAATAGTATTAAATAACCCTGGCCTTAGCCCGAAGCACGACTCTGGTCTATTGCAAATCTATCTTGATAGTGGTTAAGGTCTACATTTCCTATATTTTAATTTAATCTGTTTTAAAAGTAACTTTAAAGTCATAGAGAGAGAAGAGAGGAACTGCAGATGAAGAATCTCTCACAATATCCTGGTGCTCTGCATAAGTTAGGGCAAAAGTGGAAGCAGAGAGAGTTTATTAAATGAAAGGGTGCAATTTGAGAAACCTATACTATAACAAAGAGGGCTCCTGTGGTCAAACTCTACTCATAGATATCTCTTAAGACTCTTGGTGTGTCCACCCTAGGGGTAACATTCCAAGAATTCTACAACAGTCACATGAAAGACATATCTTCTCCATTCAGGTAAAACTGAGTCAAATGGCAAAACTAAATATAACTGCATTTATCTAAACTATTTTAACCTTGATGCAGAATAACTGAGGAAGAGCGTCCTTTAGCTCAGCATCATTATTGGTTTGCATGCTGAATTGTTTATGAGTCCTTACCTTACTTTAGATAAAAGCATCCATCTCTCCTCCCCATCTGCGTGTTTTCCATTGACTGGACAAAGAACTATATTTGAAATTTTAACAGAAGAGGGGGAAGGATAACTATTTAATGGGCACATGATCAACTGAAACTGATCTTGGAAACTCAAGTACGGCAGACTTAGCAGTTGAATTAGAGAGAACCAAGAATATTTTTGTTTTATTTATTTTATTTTTTGCCTTGCTGTCATTGTTGACTCCTGGTGACTGACTAGACTAATCCTTGCTGTTTTCTTGACAAGATTTTTTTGGAAGTGGTTTGCCATTGCCGCCTTCCTAAAGCTGTGAGAGAATGACTGGTCCAAGGTTGACTAGCTGACTTCACATCTAAGGGAGGACTATATCTCAGGGTCTTCCAGTTTCTAGCCTTGGCTCAACCAAGAAATACCGTGGTTGTAATCTAGACTGGAAAGTAAACAAAGAAATAAAAAAGAATCTTAAAGAAAGCTATGGAAAATAGTTTTCTATTTATTCTTGAATAAAATGCTTTGAGGTATTGAACTATTAATGAACCCGTTAATAGTTGAGCTCTGTACCGTTAAAATACATTTCCTGCACTACTCTTTTGCTTGCCAGTTTTATTCTGTGTCCCATTGTTGTCAAATTAAATTCTATTTGGAATTTTACATAACAATAAAAAAGGATGTTTTCAAAAGGAATGTCATATATGCTCAGGCAACATCCTGGAAATAAACTCCACTGAATAAAACCCCACTCATTTTTCTAAAAATATTGTATTTTTAGTTGTCTCAATTGAAAGTTCCCCAAGATAGGTTTGCTAGCTTCTTTTGCTTTTTTCCTGCCTACCTATCAGGAACTGTCATCCCACAACAGACTTCCTTCAGTCTCCATGCAATGATTTCCATATTCTGCATCTTGTATCCAAGTATCCAAATTACTCCTTGACCTATCTTGGCCTGGCTGATAGCTATTTACCTCTGTCAGAGCTCCATGGAAAGCTCTGCCAAAAGAAATCTATACCAACGTTCTGAAAAAACATATTCCAAAGTTGTTAAAAAGTTATAAACCTTTGGGCAAAAGACAAAGTACCCCAAATTAATGGAACAAACTTCATTGTAGGAAGCATTTTGATTCTGACCAGCTCAAGGTTGACTCAGCCTTCTATACTTCCAAGGTCATTTAAAATGAGGATCCAGATTGCTGGGAGCAATATGTTGACTCTGTAAATCGCTTAGAGAGGGCGCTAAAACCCTATGGAGGCTAAGTGCTCTTAATTGTTAGCTAGGAGTTGGTTTCCACTCTTAAACTATACTAATGTACAACATTGCTTTGTCAGTTTTTCCTGGTGAATCTCCAGGTTTATCAGTTTGTGTAAGTCATGCACAGAGGCTATTGCAATTAAATGGCACAATTTTTGCATACTAGATGGAGTTTTTTAATCTATTACCTGAGGCTTCCTAAAATAAAGATTCTGCTGGATTTAGGCATTGTTAATTCTGGTTTAGCACATGTTCATTTAGCTATATTTGTCTGTAAAACAGTGTTTGGATAATATCTCAAGATATCAATCTAGCCACCTGGGACTTCTTCAACCAAGAATGATAAAATAAACACAGTGTGTAATTCCTGTACATGAAAACTGAAACCTCTTCTAATATTGTTCTAATGTTTACCAGAATGTTTATGCTTATTATATCACAGGTAACATTTATCACAACCTCAGACAAGCTTATTTATAGCGGATGTTAAGAAAAACTGGGAGAAAAAGGGCATATGTTTTAATGAAATGCTCAATATTCTAAAGGAGAGTTTAATAAGTTTGGTGGAAATGGCTATAATGCTAAAGATCCCACTCCTTAGTGCTTTACAGCCTCTCTAAGTGGTTTACAAAACCAGCATATTGCCCCCCCCCCTTTATTTTACCGACCTTGGAAGGATGAAAGGATGAGAAGATGCAGCCGATGAGAAGATGCAGTAAAAATAAAAAAGCCTACAAAACTCAAATAATAAATCCTGATTGCTTAGTGCCATACAGTTTTGGGAGCAGAAAAAACTTATAATCCACAGAGAAAGAGAACTCAATGTTCCTCTGATTACTTCAGCCACAAATAGTCAAGAAAAAACTGAAAGCTTCTGGGTTCTTTTTTTTCTTTAAAAAAATATTCTTATCATGTGGTTTGAACAAGTAAATATTTATTTCTTTACCGGGGATTCTATGCATGATTTTTTTTCTCATGTAAATATAAAAACTTGGATCCTGCCATGTTTCAACTAGATTGATTTGAAGGTCATTGAGTTCTGCCTTGGTTTCTACCTATGGTTTTTTTTTAATTTTTATATAAACACACATGCAGACATCATACTTACATTGATTCATAACTCTCGAGCTGCACTGATTTGGTTTGGACAAAGCCAATTATCCCGCTAATAGTGGATTTTCCTATAAACCAACGGAGACCCGGAATGAGAAAGCCAATCACCTCCAGGATATCCCCTTTGCAGTAACTCAATTCATCCCAGCTTTTTCCCCTGTGATCTTCAGTGGCTGTGCACCTCCCTTGGCCTGAAAAATAGAAGGAGACCAGTCTCACATCAGAAGGCTGAACAATTGTATCATTCTCTCACAGCAGCACCATGGCTAAAGGCAGTGGAGAGTGTGCATGCAAACAAAGCCCGATTAACAAAAACTCTTTGTGTTTCGTGACATTTTTGTTTTCTTCAGTAGCTTAGACTTCACAGGCAAGCCTAGTCTGTTTTTTTAAAAGCAGTTATTTATTCCACAGACATATAAGAAGCTCTGAAGACATTTCAATTTGTTACAGGGGGTTTTGTCGGTGAGAGGGGGAACAGCCTTTGAGAAAAATAATTGCCCTACATCATGCATTTTTTTGCTACTTTTTCACCTAGTCCACTGCCTTTATTTCCTCCCTGTTTCATACAAATACAAATTCCATCATATTGTATCTTCTTGGGATGGTATCTTGGTTTCATATTTGGTAATCTGTGACTTTTTCCAGATGCCACTGACGGCAAATTAATTAACATTGAGAGCAACTCAGTCTAAATTGGTCGCACAGATGTTTCTTGCCAAACAGGAAGGCAAATAAAGACTGTACAAGGTGACGTCCTGAACAAATATACACTTTTTCACTGATGGCTGGAAAATCCCTGGGAAAAAAATTTTTAAATGTTGGCCAAGTGTTCATGAAGTTCCTCACTTTCTCAGCAAGCTATAAAATAACAGAAGCACCAGGGATGGTCATTCTAAAAAATCCAAATCAACACAAGACATCCTCAGAAAATCCGATCTTAGAAACTGAAGGGGAAATATTCTCAGCATTTTTAGACTCCAAACTAACATGTTCTAAAGATAACTAAATAGAAAGGAAAATTCCAATGATTCCATTTGTAGCTTAAAATAAGACGAATGTCATGATTGGCAGTATTTTTTTCTGCCTTTTTATGAATCAAACTACACAAAAATCGGTAACCACCATAATCATGCTGTGCTTGATAAGTTAGGAAAAGGGATTGTACATGCACACAGATAGGCTTCCTCTGAGTCCGCTACCAACCATTTCTTTATAAATACACCATTATCTATCATCTATCTATCTATCTATCTATCTATCTATCTATCTATCTATCTATCATCTTTCTTTCTTTCTTTCTTTCTTTCTTTCTTTCTTTCTTTCAATTTATATATAATTCTGTTCATTCTGTTCAAAAGCAGCACTCCTACAATGAGAACAAATGGAAGCCAGAAAATTTGGGGTTCAAATACACACAATGATGCAAATAATTTTAATGATTAATTAGTCAATTGAAAGCAGAACTTCTCTTGGGGGACTAATAGACAGACAATTACAAAATAATTGTGGAAGATTGCTTTTATGTGTGGTGACTGCTTGAAGATTATTATATATACAAAAATGGAAAGGTTATGAAATACCCTTAAGGGAAGAATTGGCCAGTGAAGATGACAGAATTGGCAGAGATAGCAAAATTGACTTGCTTGATTAGAGAAAGGACAATGACTGTATTGTAACCCCTTATGGACTTTTGACTGAGAAAAAAAAAAAAGTGAATGTGTGATTTATAGCTTTCATGATTAGAAAAAGAAGACTATGGAAAAAAAGAAAATTGTGTTGTAACCTTAGAGACAGCATAAAGTAATAATGTACTTTTAACTGCTGTTAAGAAGATTGAAAGCAGCTTCTTTGTAATTCACCTTATTATCTTTCCTTTCCTTCCCTTTCTCTATTTTTTCTTTGCATTTTTTATTTTTCTTTCCTTTTCTTTTTCTTTCAAAATTAGTATTGTTTTTAATTCTTTTAAATAAATATACACAGACACACACGTTTGTGTATTTGTGTGTATCTGTATAAATACATACAGTACATGCACACATACAAATGTACACATTGAGAACAAATGGCTGTTTGAAAGCCCTATGAATGTGGCACATAGACAGCAAGTGAAATAAAAAGGGAGGTGATCAATTGATGATTTCTAAGCAAACTGATCTTGAGTTTTATTACACTCACCAATCTGCAAAGAGTCAGGCCCATTGATTTCTTTGGATATGCCACAACTGATTGGATAGTTCTTCAAAAACCACCTGCGAATGCAAACAGCTATGAACAAACTGCTTCATTGAGGGAAATATATGGCTGATGTCCAAGGTAGGAGACAATTAGTTACTAGATCTGCTCTATGGCATCAGATTCCTTGTATGCCTTCTCTTTTATAATTCATTCATGGAATCCATGGCCCAAAAGTATGATGATAGTGATAGCAATAGCTTAGATGCCTGTTTTAAAAGAGTGTTACCCAAATATAACACAAATCAAGATTCTGGAGCTAAAATATAGATGCAAATATCAGGATCACTCGTGAGTGTTTTCAAAATATCTGACTTATGCTATTGGAGATGGAGACAGTTGATCTTGAACTTCAGATTGGTACTAGAGTAAATGCTTTTCACAGAAAATTACATCCCCAACTCCTACACTTAAAAAAAGGCAGGCAGCAAATGACAGGAATAATTGTCAGACAGATATTGTCAGTCAGGGAAGCCAAAGCAAATCTAGAGAAGATTGTCTAGGCATAAAGGTAATGTTATGTAGAAAGAATATTGATTTGATCTTCCAATACAGCTTGTACATACATTTTGACAGACATGATTTTTAAAAAGCTTGTCAGCACTCTTAAATCTGGCACACTGAATCTTCATTTGGCCAATATGACAAAGTGTGTAACTGAAGAGCCAAAAAAATTCCCATTAAAGAAACAAATATACATCTTTGTATACAAATCACATTTGGTAACCCTTCTAATGACAACATTATTGCAAAAGCTATAAGTGAATTAGAGGCTGAAAATAAGATTTTAAGGACACATGACAAACAGCAGCCAATTCTAATCAAAGTTAGAAAATGCTATTTTGCTTGAAGTAGTACAAGTGAACCCAGCATTTTCACAGCACAAGAACATGCCCATTTTGTTGGATCTGTTGGGATGTGGAGATGAAATCAGGAAGAGGTGGTCCTTCACATAACCCAGCCCTATGCCATGGAGGGCTTTTGCCAAGAACCATGAATGACATATGGAATTACTTAAGAGCAATTTCCTTCATTGTTCTTCATCTACAGACGGAATCTTGCCAGACTAAAACAACTATCTGCTTAACTACAGATATACTCAGGGAAAAGCTAGGGAAGAGCTGTTTTAACCCTCTTGCCACCAACCACATTTTCCAAGCGCCACTGGCCCTTTATCCTTTGCTTACAGAACAACTGCTGGATGTAAACATGGCAACAAACAATCTACTTACTGGTAAAAAGGATGGGGCAGTGGCTCTATAGTTGTGACATGTATCAGTCCCCTCTGATCTGTCAACAATGACGTCCCTTCCCACTTAGTTTCATGTCCAATGTCTTTCACATGGACTAATTCATTCTTGAAGAGCTTTAAATCTTCTTCTTCTTCCTCCTCTGCAGGGACGGTGAGTGTTGCTCTGGCAAAAAAATTGCCTACGGACAGAAGGAGGAAAAGAGAAAGAAACAACATGAGTTCTGCAAATAATGTGGCAGTATCTACTTTCCTAAGAACGCTTGCACATTTTTAGCTCTCTAAAAGTTCTATTCCAGGTCATTTCAATTTCCATGTAATACCAGGATTATGCTGACAGTCTAACACAAGCAATTTTTTTTCTGTCATGACGCTGCCACCATGAAACTATCTGCTAGTATAGGATTCCCTTCAAAAAGATTTCAGAGGCTTTCTTCTTTGCAAGAATATCTCATATAGTTCAATGTCACTTTAAACACAGTTATTGAATGGTTCAAAGTATTTTTCCTCACTGTAGTCTAACAGTTCAATGTTTCCCAATAGTTTAAAATGTTTTTTTAAGTGCAAAAAAGGAAGGGGGGGGAAGTAGAAAGAAAATTACATACAGAAGATGTCTGCAATGAGGAAGGATCAGAAACACTTTGTTTCAGCTGAAGGAAATTATTTATAAACACTTAATTCCTCCACCCTTTGCCTAGCCATAGCTCAGGATTAGTACCAGACAGTTCTCTGCTGCTGAAAGGGTCCCCTGACATTGGAAGTAAATTTGTAGATGCTATTTGTTACCAGAATATGTTTATTTGAACGTGCATAGATTTATCCTCCAATCCAATATTTTCTAGCATATCTTTCTCACACATCCGTCTTCCTCGTCATATTGGAGACCTACTTTACAGTGAAACAGCATTGGGGATGGGGGGTGGGGTTGGATTCTGTCTCAGAGTTCTTACCTTCCTGGAGGAGGAGACCCAGATACATGGTGGTCATGCAGTCCTCATCAACAGTGACAGTGATCTCAGTATCATCTACTTGAGCACAGTTCAACCAGTACTCAGGACTGAAGAGAAGGTGTTCCAGGCAGCAACCCACATATCCTATTTCATCATACCAAAGGAAGAATGAAAACCTGCGTTGTGCTTTCCGCAAAGATCAAAGCAGTATTTATTTATTATTACAGACCAACATTTAACCGAAATTGTCAGCCATTCTATAGAGTCACATTAACAACAGAGCATGTGTTTTTCCAGTGCCTGAATTACAGAGACATTCCTATCATATTAAACTAGTTTTTGAAAAGAAAATTATAAGTGGTTCATGTTTTGCACTGTTTTGCACATGTTTTGCCTTAACACTATGGCCAATATATTTTATGTTCCCACAACTGCCCTTCTGATGGAATGCCAGTCATTTGTCAATGGAATGTGATTTACCAAGTGCCAAATAAGTGGAAAACTTCCAGATTTCTTCCACAGTTCTGAAGGAAAGCAGAAAGCGATTCTCCTGTGCCTGGATGCATGCCAGCCTGGCTGACAGCTCCTGCAAAAAGACAGAAAATGAGAAGATTCAATTATTATAAAAGATTAGCATCAGTAGTGGATTTCAAAAATTTTTACTACCGGTTCTGTGGGTGTGGATTGGTGGGCGTGGCAGGGGAAGGTTACTGCAAAATTCTCATTTCCTCCCGATCAGATGGGACTTGGGAGGCAGAGAATAGATGGGAGTGGGGCCACTCAGAATTTTTACTACTGGTTCTCCAAACTACTCAAAATTTCCGCTACCAGTTCTCCAGAACTGGTCATAACCTTCTGAAATCCACCTCTGATTAGCATATACCTTATCGTATTTTTTGCAAATTATAGACATGACATTTGGAACTTGGAACTTTAAACAAGGTATGAGTTACCCTGGGACAATGAAATCTAATCAAGAATTAAGGATTCATTCTTAAATATGGGGTCTAAAATAAGCTACAGAGTGAAACCTGATCAGATCCATGTGCTAACCAGCTATATCTTTTTCAAAATATGGCATTCTATTCTCCTATTTTTCCATCATCCCTGTGTCCAAAACATAGCATTTCGTAGTCAGTCCGTTGAGTATGATCCCTTGGTTGGTTTTTACTCAAACAGCTTATATTTCCTTCAGTTTTGTCCTGTATCCAAAACCCTTCCAAGGACTACAACTACAGATCAGTACTGTAGGAATGAGTGGGTTATGCATACTTAAGATGTTAAGGCATGTTGATAAAATCATCCTAAAACATTTAAATTATCTAGATTAAAATTTCCATGGGCATGAAGTACACATCTGTAATTTGGGCCTAATGCAGTTTTAGCCTAGCTATGACACATTTAAATTATTTTGAGGCAGTGAGGAAAAGGCTATGTGTGTGTGTGTATGTGTGTTTATACATAGCATTTGATTTTATAGGTCAGAGGCTTGTTGATAGTTTGATTTCCACATTTTACTGCACTCGCAATGCCACTTAGCAATAAATAATAAATGGAGATGGTAATAATTCCAGCCTCTGGTGGGGCTATGCAGCCATGCAAAACAATATGAGCGGATGTCATACAGCTGTATAACAACATATGCTTTGCATGTAGTTCAATCTTCAGTATTTCCAATTAAAGGTATTGTAGGCAGTACATCAGCAAAAGATAGTACTTATGATTCTGAGGAACTGTTACTTCATTATTGGCAAGATGACCGGAGGTCTGATTCACAGTTTTGTTTTGTTTTTTTCAAAAAGTTACAGAAATACAGTTTTCTTTGAAAAGAATAGTAATAACCACTTTACCTTGAAAACAGCACAAACATCTTTATCGTCATTTTCCAGGGCCCATAATTTCTTTCTTGCTGCCTCTTGTAGCTGCAGATTGAGATCCTGTGCAGAACGACTCTTGACAGAAAATGAGAGAGAAATTGCTTCAAGAAAAAGAGAAAGACGGGAAATTAAATGGGAGAAAATGGATACATTTAAAACTTTTTCTTACTTCTGTCCCTTTGAATAGATAAGGACTCTAGGATGCTCATCACTGGAAGGCCTATTTTTTTTAAAAAAAATATAACTGTAGCTGTAGCTGCATAACAATACATTCTACCACACTAGTTTTAAATGATGCAAGAAAACAGAAGCAGGAAACCTATCCTCCTCTAGAGATTCTTAAAAAGAAAAGGTTTGGTTGGCATCCAGCTAAAAGACAGTTTCTGAAGATTACAAAAGGTACCATTTAAAACACTTAGAAGGTATCAGATTGGTTATCCCTGCACTAGGTGACATAATTATAGTTGGAAAGCAGTAAACCACACGTTTTCTGAATAGTTTTTATTCCAGAGCTATAATTGTACTCAACAATGAACTAAAGGGCCACCATCAGTGAGCTGTTGGAAAGCATTACTTGGTCTGTTGTGTGGATGTTTGGGTGGTTTAGGGGTGGGGAATTGTGGTGGATGGGAGTGTGTTTGGGGATTGCTATGTGTGTTGGACCTGGTCTTTGAGTGTTAAGTGAATTTTGTTGTATGTGTATATTGTGTATACATGTACAATGACAATAAAGTTTTAAACAATAAAAAAATAAACATCTGCAGGTGCAGCAGTTGAAATAGCAACTGGGTTTCATGATGATTCTGGGAAGGGATGCTAAGAATGTATGGGTTATATCTGTTGCTGTTGGTCTTTCGTTTCAGAGAAGATTCACACACAAACAGAAAAGGTCTCAACAGGCAAAAGGTGGCATTGTTGATTTGCCTAGCAAGTCTAAGAGGAACTCATAGAATAAGATGCTTGCCAAGTTCTGCCTAATATAGCAAAGTCTCCTTTGCTAACTCTTCCCAAACTAACTTAATAACTCCTTTTCCATCCAGACTTCTTGTTTCCTCCACCATTTATTGTTACTGCAATCTATTAAAAGGGATTAACGTAATTCTAAAATCAGTTGTTTCACCCTTAAGATTTAAGTCAGAGCACTTCATTTCCCCCAAATTTTTCCATCATTGAGAATTTATTTTAGCACATATCTTTTCTCTATGGCTGACTTCATAACAAATTATGTCAGGGAAAGCAGTAGTTATCTGAGAATGTTTCAGAGTGGGAGCTTGTTTGTTTTGGTTAGAAAGCCCTATACTTGTAAATTAAATCTGAATAGGTTCTACACACAAACACGCAAACACTTTGAATACTGTTTTACTGTTGGCAAGGTGTCAGCTGATATAAGAAATTGGCACATCATTTGATCAATCTTGATGCCTTTCGCACTGACATCTGGAATGACAGATTAGCTGTCAAAAATTTTACTCTCCTTCACTCCTTCCATTTTCATAGATTAATCTTTGACACTGCTAATAGCAATATGATGTAAAGAACACTAGTGCTCATTTCAAAGAAATGAAATTCAATTACCCCTTCCTTCCTTCCTTCCTTCCTTCCTTCCTTTCTTCCTTCCTTCCTTCCTTCCCAACATAAAATAGCAATTAGACAAAAACTTACCATTTGGGAACCCTTCCCCTACTGCCAGTGACACGGACTCAGTTTCCAGAGTGCCCTCTCCTATCTGTGCAGGATGACTTCCTGGATCCAGTTCTTTGGGGTTACCTGATAAGTCACCATGCAGGCAGAAGGACTACTGTCAACTTTTTTTAGAGGAAGTAAAGTAAGGCTGTAATGAAGGGGAACACGGGAATATAAAGGGAGCTGCTAAGCACTGACAAATGGATGGACAATCAAGTCCAAGGATGTGGACTGAGTAAAAGAAGCTCCCTGGTGATTCAGAAATCTTTTCCACACTTAAAGTCTAAACTGGGACTGAACATTGAACCTTATATTCCCAAAATAAATCTATTATACCATTTAGTATTGGGGTAGCATTGGTATGACCTCTACCAAGGCAGAGAAGCTAAGAGTAGTCCAACTCTCACCCCATTTCCCAGACAGCCACTTTTAACTTTGCTTTCCTCATCGATTCCCACATTTTACATTTTTCTACACTTACTATTTTGAAAAATCCTCTTTGATACTCTACATTTCATCAGATGAATAGGATAAATATTGAAAATGAGGTGCAAGAGAGAATGGAATTTTGAGAATGGGCAGGATTGTTTTAAAGGCTTAAAGACAAAACGGTAGTGTAATACCACCACTTTAATTATTATCATGATCTAAGGAATGTTGATTCTATCTCTTCAGAGCTTTAAAACAATGTTACCTATTTTCATGGCTACTTTTCACCTGCTTCCCTCCCAACTAAAAATACCTCATTCATGAATATTTTATCTCATGAAGTGGATGAGACCCATGAAATTTTATGCGTAATAAAATTAGTTAATCTTTAAAGAGCTGGGCTGAGAAAGAGAAGGTGGCCCAAAGTCACCTGGCTGGTTTTTCATGCCTAAGGAGGGACTAGGACTCACAGCCTCCTGGTTTTTAAGACAGCACTTTCACCACTACACCAGGTGAGCTCTCATTTTATTTGAGTTTTATTTCAGTTTCCCATTTCTCTGGTTATTGTAATGTTGCTCTTGAAAGATTAAATAAATCAAAATATTTATGGTGATATGGAGTCTGAGAACAGTTATATATTTGTGTATCATTTAGTGCAGATGAAAATTCACGCTTAAATATACATTTTGAAAAAGAAAAAAAGAGGTTCCCACAATCACAGCTGTGCCACATGATTGCTGGAGCCTTTTTTTTTTTTACTTTATGGTTATGGGAGCGACATAGCGTTTCCATGTAACACCTTTCCTGCGTAAGCTGCACTGGCTCCCGGTGGTCTTCCGGATGCGCTTCAAGATATTGGTTACCACCTTTAGAGCACTCCATGGCTCAGGACCTGGATACCTATGAGACCGCCTTCTGCCACTGGTAGCCTCTCACTGGCCAGTACACTCCCACAGAGAGGGGCTCCTCAGGGTGCCGTCAGCCAAACAGTGTCGACTGGTGGCCCCCAGGGGGAGAGCCTTCTCTGTGGGGGCACTTGCCCTTTGGAATGAACTCCCCCCGGAGATACGGAGGATCCCGGATTTACGCACCTTCCGCCGCGCCCTCAAGACTTTTTTATTTCAACAAGCTGGGCTGGCTTAACTCTTTTTAATTGTTTAATTTTAATTTGTTTTTTAAAAAAGGGGTATTTTAATTAGTATGGGCCAAATTTATTTAATACGTTTTAAATTGTTTTTAAATTTTATATTGTATGTGTTTTATCTTGGCTGTTCACCACCCTGAGTCCTTCGGGAGTAGGGCGGTATATAAATCTAAATAAACTGAAACTGAAACTGAAACTTCTTTAAAGCATTTTTTACTACCTATTCACTCGAGCTGGTAGTAAAAAATGCTTTTAAAAAGTTTTTTAAAAGGTTCCCACGCACGCCAGAGCTGATCACCCCCCCCTCACTGTTCTACTTACCTTCCTAAGCCTCCTTTTGGTGCGCACTGTGCATGCATGCATACAGTGCACGTTTGGCACATGGCACGCATGCACAGCCAGCAAACCGGCAGTAAACCGGTTCAGATTTCACCACTGAGATTAAGGCCCCTTTTTTCAAAAACCACAATGCAGTTTCCCAACTGTTCTAATTGTCTAATAAGGTTTAAAAGTCTGGAATACATCAATAGCTGACAAGGCTTCAAAACTGCCAAGATACAGTATATGGGTTGTAAACAATGGCAGGTTCACTTAAATTTTCCCCTCTTCATTGTCAGCTGTGCTAATCCATCTATAAACATAAAATGTGATTTGATTTATACTGAAGTATAAACTCTATTGGAGTTCCAAGTGAAAAATAATGGTTTCTTTGAAGTTTATTAAGCATGTTGTATTTTTTTAAAAAATAAGTCTCCTATGGCATTTTGCTTTTTCTTGTAGTTTCTCTATGTAGGGTTGAATTTTAAATCCCCAACAAGCACTTCAAATAGCGCAAAGGCAGATTTTGTAACAGAGACCCCATAGCCATGTCCTTCACTTTATTTGTTATAATAAAATATTTTTTTTCTCAAAAAGTGACAAGCCAGATTTTATACGATAACCATATTTTGCAGTTACTGTAAATCCAAATAACTCTAGCATTTATCACACTAATCTCATCCTTATGATGGGTGCAGGCACTTTGCTAATTGAAGTCATGCTGCACCAAGGACTGTGAGAAATGATGGCTCCTAGAACATAAATATTTACCATATAGCCACAGCAATAACATATTTTACATAGTAGGAAATGGCTCCAACTTGCCATTGAACTTTGATTAACTCAGGGATAAGGAATCCTTCTTTGCCATCAGAACTAGAACATCTAGGAGTATATTGTGAGCAGAGGTGGGTTTCAGCAGGTTCTGACCAGTTCTGGAGAACCTTTAGCAAAAATTTTGAGTAGTTTGGAGAACCAGCAATAAAAATTCTGACTGGCCCTGCCCCCATCTATTCTCTGTCTCCCAAGTCCCACTGATCGGGAGGAAATGGGGATTTTGTAATATCCTTCCCCTGCCACACCCATCAAGCCATGCCCACCAAGCCACACCCACAGAACCGGTAGTAAAAATAATTTGAAACCCACCCATTGTGAGATTATGGTAAACAACCTAGTTGAAGATTCAAAGTCTACTCGTCTAACCTTTTCTCTTACATACATATACCTGCCCCATTTATACTATACACCGCCAGACAGTTCTCTCTTTATCCCTGCTATAGCAATGAAAAAGGACCTGCTCCGTCAGGAACCATCTCTTCAAAGCACTTCAAGCACCTTTAGAGGCAGTTGCATTTATCCCTCCTTCTCCCTGATGGGAAATTGAAGGCCTGAAAAACCTCCATGTGGCATCTTGATTTGGTTGCTTCTGAGAGAAACAATTTGTTTCTCCCTTCTACCTCTTCTCTGAGATAGAAATTTAAGAATCTTGGGGGTTCTTGCCTCCTTTCCATAGAAATAATTAAACCAGATAAACTACTTAGATTCAGGGCTAACATGTACAGGTAGTCCTCGGCTTATGACCGGCCACTTAGCGACTGTTTAAAAATTACAATGAACTCTGAAAAAGTTACTCATCCAGATTTGAACTTCCAACAGCTGCCACCCTCTCCAAACACATGACTGCATTTTGGGCGTTCAGCAACCAGCCCTTATTTACAGCTGTTTGCAGCATCCTCTGATCACATGACCACAACTTACAATGTTTTTGCCAGATAGCGAACAATGAGTTTGCTTAACGACTGCTAGGTTTGCTTTGCTATCTCCATGTTTGATTAACGACTGCCACATAAAATGTTGTAAAATTGGGTATTGGGCAGGGATGAAATTCAGTAGGTTCTGATAGGTTCTGAGAACCGGTAGCAGAAATTTTGAGCAGTTCGGAGAACCAGCAAATACCATCTCTGGCTGGCCCCAGAGTGGGGTGGGAATGGAGATTTTGCAGTATCTTTCCCCCGGAGTGGGGAGGGAATGGAAATTTTGCAGTATCCTTCCCCTGCCACGTACACCAAGCCACGCCCACAGAACCGTTAGTAAAAAAAATTGGATTTCACCACTGATATGGGGACATGATAGCCCGTTTAACAAGCATCCCAACTTACAACTCTAATAGCAAGCTCAATTATAGTTGTAAATTGAAGACTACCAGTATGCCAATAAATGCTTTGCTCTTTTCTAAAGGTTGCCTTTTCTTTTAATACTCAATTATCTTTGAAATAAATCCTGAAGTTCATTTTACGGTGCAGACTCTACCTACTGGCTCAGCTTTATCCCTACAGGCCAAGCTATACTTGATAGTCCCATCACAGTAACCCACCCAACCATACCCACAGTTTCAAAGCTGAAAATAAGATTGTGGTGTTTTTTTTTAAAAAAAAAATTCACCTGATGCCATCTTCTTCTCTGGGAAGCATCTTTCTGAAGTTTCAGCTTGACAATGCTGCAGACTTGACCAAGTGGCCAGGAGTACAGATTGGATAGAAGATGATTTTGACTCTGCACCTGGAAAATGCATGGAGCAAATGAGATACAAATTAAACCAATATTGTTAATGCTAACTGATGTATTTTGCTACTCCAAAAACAAAGAAAACAAAGAAATCAGGTCCTTTTCACAATTTTTGCAATTGTGCTGAAAGTTCAGAAATATATCTCTGTTAAGTATAGTTACTTATTTATTTTAGTTCAAACTGCCCAGAAATGGGGAACTAAATGCTTAAATAAGTGAACTGAAACTAGTTCCACTGTTTGCATAAATTATTTTATTTATTTATTTAGTTTGTCAAGCATGTATGAGAAAACAAGTATAAGTATGAACATAACATAGAAACATGTAAGTATAAATAGGTATAAGCATATACATAATAAATGAGTATGAATAAATGGGAACAGTAGGACAGGGACGGTAGGCATGTTGGTGCGCTTATGCACGCCCCCTAAAATTATGCTAAATGTTCAGCATCTTATTTTAAAATAACAGCATCTTATAATATTTCCATAAGAACAGGATTGCAGAGCACCCTGAGTATCAATTTACTCTTTGAGCATCAATACAGTGACAGAAATCTGGGGAGCAAACAGGGCATGCTACATTTTTGCACTGATATCAGCCTAATGGATGATTCTCATTTCTCACACACTGGGTTATTTTACACTTGATCTGGAATGAATCAGAACTAGGTGTGAGTGGGTAATCTGACCCTCCAGTTTATTTCCACTGTATGTACAGATGTCCTTGAATTAAGCTTGATGTCTTATAATTATACCTAAACAGTTTTTTCCCCTAGCATTATAGAACTAATTTCCTACTGTCTTCTTCCAGCTATTTTTCAAACTTCTTGAGCCAGTCAATATCTCTGGACTACCCAGGTAATTCCCAATCTTAAATACTAACTTTGCTTAATTTATGAAATCATGAAAGTCAGTTAGATGCTGCCAGTTGCATTCCCTTAATCCTTCATTTCTGGTTATATTGACTGTAGTTTATAAAAACTGCAGCCCAAAAGATCTGGAAAATAACAGAATAGACCCGTGATGCCAGCGTGCCCGAAGTGGCACATGGAGCCATGTCGCCTGGCACATATGGCGTCGCCCGCTCCTCTTCTGGGTTTCTGGTGCGCATGCACGTGCGATGATCAGTTGGCCTTTTTGCATGCGGCAATGCTGAAAAGTAGAAGATCTTCTATCTGGGCTTCCATTTTCCTGTGTGAGTATGTGTGCCAGAAGCCTGGAAGAGCAGCTGGCTGAAACCGGAAGTTCAGTAGCTGAAACCGGAAGTTCATTTTTGGGCACGCACATGCACCCTGGGCAGCTTCTCTTCTGGGTTGCAGCCCAGGCACGCGCGTGCTCCCTTTTCGGCATTCAATGTCAAAAAGGTTCGCCATCACTGGAATAGACTATCCATGATTTAACGTATGGTGAAGGGGGGAGGGGTAGCATTCAAAGTAATACAGAATTTCTGATTTAGTGTTTGAAAAAATGGGTCTCGTTAGGTACAAATCACTTTGTATGCCTGACAAAATGTCCTTTTAAGTTCAGGAGCTACAGTATTAAGCTACAGCTTAATTTCAACCCACTGCTAAAAACTACAGCACTGCAAGCATGGGAAGGAACACTGTCAGAGTATTCAGCTCCATTTCTCAGAAATTTAGATGTTGCAATCAAACTGCTGCAAACTAGACCACACAATGAAAGGGCAGCATAATTAATGATGACCATGCATTTGTGAACTTGTCATATTTACGTAATCCAATCCTTTCTCATTGCTTTGAGTGAAATAAAAAAAAGAAGTCACATAATTGTACTCATTTAAACTCACAGATTAATATCTCTTATTTCATGTTTCATGTTCCTCCCAACATAGAAACTATTAGATGAGCTTGCCAAAGCCAAATGTTTGATTATAATTTCATATGAATTGTTAATGAATTATTCATATTTACAGTTACTATTAAATCTAGAGTAAAAATCACCGCTCAAGATTTTCTCAGACTATCAAGACCAGCTTTAGGGGAAAAAAAAACAAGGGAGGGGAACTTGTAGAATAAGGCTTCTGGAATTCTTTCCAATCCCTTGTAATAGCTTCACTCTGGATAACATGACTGGGAGTGAAAAGGGAAGAGACTTAGCACTGAAAACAGTAACATTCACGGCCATTACTCAATTGCTTTTTCTATTGGTGTGCATTGGGGACATGTTCTTCTCTACAGCTGTAATTATCTATCCTTCCTTCCTTCCTTCCTTCCTTCCTTCCTTCCTTCCTTCCTTCCTCCCTCCCTCCCTCCCTCCCTCCCTCCCTCCCTCCCTCCTTTCTCCGCATCAAATTTGGTCCTATTTTGTTCTGATTTTGAAAAGTTACTCTGCTGACAAAGAAAGTCTAATACATCACTATTGTTGTAACATTTTACTCTAGCTAGTCCTGCAGAAAGTTGAAAAGAAATGATGTAAAGGGATTTGGGGTTTCTCTGTCAGCAGAAAAAAACAGCAGTATTATTGTGCTGCAGCTATAAAAATAGAAAAATCAGCTGCTATTTTATAAATCCATAATGTGAGTCCCTAGCATACGGCATTCTGTGTGAAGCTGGAATGTCTCATTTCGAAAGGGATATTATAAAACTAGGGAGAAGATGTAGAAAACCACGAGAAAAGCATATTGAGCATGAATGAAAAGGGAAGAAATAGTAAGAGGTTACCCAAAAAGTCATAAAAAGACAGAAAAGCAATTGCATATGCATTGGTTGATACATTTCAACAAATCCAAGTTGATACATTTCAACAAATCCAAGTTCTTCCACTTGTGAGTCCTTAGTCACACCGGTATTAAATATACATACTGTAAAATTATCAAGTACCCCCTTTGAAGCATACAAGCAGGAAAGGTAGAAGTGAGAAATGCTACATATTTTCCATGAGGGAAGCCCTGTGAAGCTCTGGCTTCACAGCCCTGAATTACAAAATTGTATTTCCTGTTTATGGCGTGTTTCCAGGCCCCTCAACCATTAATTGCTGATAGTGAGGCAGGAAACAATGGAGAACAGAGAGCAAGTTAGATTTATTTTTTTCCCTGTGGCTTTGCCAGCTACTCATGAAGAGCTGTCACAAAAAGGCTTAAAAGCAAACAGAAGAGGCAGAAAGTCTAATGCTTTGCTAAGAGTGGGGTTGTAGGCAGCTCACCTGTTGACCACATTGAGCATTTCCTCTGTAAAGGGAAACCAAAGCAGCAGCCCATGTGTCCACCAGCCCATCTGACCCCCACAAGTCCGTCGTCTCCCCTCTAGCAGACCCAGGAGAAGACCGAGGCAGACCTCTGTGTCAGCTCTTTCAAAGGGCTCAGTTAGCTATGGCAAAGCAGCCTCTCACAACACAATGCATCTGTTGATGGCCATTGCAAGGTGGGAGGTATGGCTGGGCCAGTCTCCCAATAGGCAGGGAATGCTCAGAATAACTCGTTCATTTCGGTGGTTTATTCCTCCCAGCGCTACAAACAAACACATGCACGTCTTTTCTGATTGTGTTTCAAATGCCAGGCAACACATTCTCGGCATTCTGAGCTTTGGTGGGTGGTGGTGGTGGAAAACACAAACGTTTTTTATATAGTTGATTCAGATTCCCCTTTGGAAACCTCATAACTTTTGAGTTAGCGTAACATTGCAAATGAGGCAAATGAGAACTGCTGTTTATGCAAATCATATCCATTGCCACTCTCACTCACGATAATTTGATAACTTCTGGCTGTTTAATTGGAAACAATGAAAAGATATAGCACCATATCTAGCTTTTTCATAATTAAAGAGAAATTCCTCTCTTTTATTCTGTACCAGGAAAGCTTTTTATATTTCAGCCTTCTAAAAAAAGAGCAACTTAATGTAAGTCACCATGCATCACCTTGCTAGCTAGATTAACAATCTTATACTTCCGGAAGTCAGCAATGTTTATATTAGGTTTATTTTAGGTACTTTGTATATGTCTGAAATTGGGCAATGTACCTTCAGATTTAGGAATGAGGGTTTATAGAATGTAACCTATTGCTCTTCGCTAACCATCAGAATTCTGATCATCATTGGAACTGTGAGCTAAAGATCTTACTCACAGGGGTAGAGGGCGGATATAGCCTTGCTCAAAAGAGAGAGAGAGAGACAGGCGGGGGGGAGAGCGAGAGAGGGAGAGGGAGAGGGAGAGAGATAGATAGATCTGGGTCCCATAACTGGGACAATGAATTGAGAACCCATTTTTTTTATCAAAAGTTGAAATAAAAATATTTGCTTGTTTGTTTCCCTGCTCAAGATGGGGAAAACCACAACTAAGCTATTTGACAAAGGAGAGTGAAAAATAACCACACTAGTAAGAGATCTTCATTCTAAATGTATTTGCCATAGACATTAAGTCAAGTCTGGCACTAACCACAGCTAAGGTATTTATCCAAAGCTGTAGATCGATGGAGGAAAATAGAAAAAGGTAATGGATGGGATCAAAGAGAACAGAGGGATGTCTTTAGAAGTGTCACAGAGAGGAGAATCTGTAAGAACACCTTAGAATTGGACTACCCACGACACTACAGTGGATGTAGAAACAGGGTGCACAACACTGAGACTCTGCTTTTGTCAGCCTGATCTCATTTACCCTTCCCCCACCACCACCGTCCCATAAATCATGCTGCTTGTCCAGCATATCATAGTTTATACCTAAGTAAACTTATCGTGAATGGTGTAAACAAAAGGCTAAAGTACTTAAAGCATCCCGGAATAATAAAGCTACCACAATGAATTTACTTGGAAGTAACTTCTGAACAGACATGCAGAATTGAGCCATACAGGTTTTACTGAGATGTCTCTTCTGCACTGCTTTGCAAAGGCTCTCCATTGATATGCCTGTTGGTAACTAATAGCTGCAGACTGGTTCTGATTTCTCTGTTTAGCTACTAAGGCCAATGCGTTGAATAATCTGAAGTGCTAGGCAAGGATTGGAGAGACTGACTAACTACAAAACTCAGAGTGGGTGGCCTTAAAGATAATTTAGTAATCCTTCTCTTCTCACCTGCCTGCTTCAGATGGTTGTTTGAAGAGAAAAAAAGGCACACTTTGTTTTTTGGAGGAAGAGGTAGGATTCAGTTGTAAGGAGGCTGGGTCCTTGTTGTTAATAATTGGTTATACAATGAGTTCAGGCAAAAAGAAATACCATTTTATGAGGATTTGTACAGGTTCAGGGGAGCATTTCCCAAGGAAATGGGTAGTACAGTGGTCTAAAGCACCCTGCTATTAAGACCAGCTGCAGGGCCGGATTTAGATGAAAAGAGGCCCTAGGCTATTCCACTTATGAGGCCCTTTCACCTATAGTGAAAGTGTAATTTTAATTTTGCTAACAATTTGAATGTAGGCCCCTCTTGATCTTGAGGCCCTAGGCTGAAGCCTAGTTAGCCTATAGGAAAATCCGGCCCTGACCAGCTGCCTGCAATTACTGCAGGTTTAAATCTCACCAGGCTCAAGGTTGACTCAGCCTTCCATCCTTTCTAAGGTAGGTGAAATGAGGACCCAGTTTGTGGGGGCAATAAGCTGACTTTGTATAAATATACAAAAGTATGAAGGCTATTGCTTAGTGCATTGTAAGCTGCCCTGAGTCTCCAGAGAAGGGCGGCATATAAATCAAATTAAAACAAAAAAAAAGGAAGATCCGTGGAGCTTGGAAGTAGCTGCCCAATGTAGCACATTGCAACCTTTAAAAAATTGCATCACTCCAGCAGCTTGTGCCACTAACAGAAGTTCTTCCAGATAAGTTTTTTATTGCACAAATATCCTGCCTCATTTACAGAATCTAGCAAGTATCTAGATACTGCCGCCCAACAGCTTTTCATTGCTTCTTCCATCATTTCAGATAGAAAATAAAATGACCACAAAGCTGGACTTCCAACCCAACTCCTCCCAGCCCAGCCCAATTGTGGAGGCTTTGCAATATATCTGGGCTGCCAAAATCCGGGTATTTGCAGTGGAGGTCTGGTGCCCATGACCAGGTTGGGAGCTCTATCGGGGTTAGCTGAGGCCAGCATGTAAGAATGACTGAGCCCGGAATGCTTGGCTTTGCTGCCACCAGCTGCGATGACAGATAAGGCTGTCCCAGAAGGTGGACTTGTTAGAATAGAATAACAGAATTGGAAGGGATCTTGGAGGTCTTCTAGTCCAACCCCCTGCTTAGGCAAGAAACCCTACACCACTTCAGACAAATGGTTATCCAACAACTTCTTAAAAACTTCCAGTGTTGGAGCATTCACAACTTCTGGAGGCAAGTTGTTTCACTGATTAATTGTTCTAACTGTCAGGAAATTCCTCCTTAGTTCTAAGTTGCTTCTCATCTTTGATTAGTTTCCACCCATTGCTTCTTGTCCTGCCTTCAGGTGCTTTGGAGAATAGTTTGACTCCCTCTTATTTGTGGCAACCCCTGAGATATCGGAACACTGCTATCATGTCTCCCCAGTCCTTCTTTTCATCAAACTAGACATACCCAGTTCCTGCAACTGTTCTTCCTATGTTTTAGCCTCCAGTCCCCAATCATCTTTGTTGCATTCAAGATACTTTTCATCACTGTTGTACTTGAACCAACAAGGAAGGTGATCAGGAAGGGACTCGCTCTTTTCGCGAAACAGCCGGGAGAACCCGCTTCACTGACCTGGCCTTTCATCTGGAGACATTCACTTCGGACTCCGATCTTCTGAGTCCTCTTCCCCCGATGCCTGAGTCGCGAGGTTCAAAGGGACTCCGGAGAAGAAAGAACTCAAAACTTTCGGAGATCCGGACAAGCTTCCCCGCGCAAAAGCAGGGACAGCGAAAAGGAGGCGGGCGCACCTTCTCCGCTCCTCCTTCCCTGCCTACCTCGCTGGCTCGGCCGCAAAAGCAAAAGGAATGTTCTCTCCGGGGCTTATCTGTCAGAGGGAGCTCCGTTTCCCAGCAGCACCTTTGCGCGGTGAGGTCAGAGTTACCCGGGAGCCAAAACCGTAAACAGCTCCCGAGCCGAAGCTCGCTCCAACCGGAGTTTGTGCAGCCGGCGTGGATTGCGCCCTTCCTGCCGCGCGTTCCGCTCCCTTACGGTGGGATGCGAGGGGAGCTTGGCAGAGGCCGCCGGTGAAACGGGCCAGGGATTTGTTTACCGGTCAGACTGCCGGCGGCTGGATCGAAAGAGGGCCCGCCTGGTTTTTGCTAAAACTAGCTCTTCTGGTCTGGTCACCTGCGCAAGCCGACCCTTTCCAATGTCCCTCTCTGCCCTTGAAAGCGAGAAGTTTCGCCGCTAGTTAAACATCAACTGAAATGGCAGAGCTGGCATTGAGTTAGGAAGAAAGTAGGGGGGGCGGGGTAGTTGTCTCTGGGGTGTGTGTGTGTGTATGAGTGAGTGAGTGAGAGAGAGACAAACAGACAGACAGACAGAACAGAGACAGAGACAGAGACAGAGAGAGCTTAAATTGCAGCTTAAAGAGTAGGCCTTTGCATACACAGGCATATTTAAAATTTTATGCATCCTCACTTGCTATTGTAGTGACATAGATGATATAAAACTAAACTTAGAGACATATTTGGTATTTTGGAATAAAATTTACTGCTTTACAAAACCTGCCGGAATTACTGTAAATTACCGCTATTCCTTTCTTTCTGTTGTCTTCTTTTTTAGCCCTCACAATACCCTTGCCAGGCAGAATAAGTTCAAATAGCGGCAGACACAATGTTTATTTTTCAGCCACTTTGGTCCCAGACTAAAAACTAGGAGTCTGTGAGTTCTAGTCCTGCCTTAGGCATAAAAGCCATCTGGGTGATTTTGGGCCAGTCATCATAGTCGTTGTGGAAAAAATAGGAGGAAGACATATTAGGTATGTTCTCCTCCATGACTAATTTACCAAAATGATAAAGGCAGGATTAAAAAAATAAAATCTACCTCCCCCCAACTTTCCACATATGGAATTTCCTGTAGAGTTCCAGCCCAAGTGTTAAATAGATTTGACCTAGCTTATCTTCTGGGATCAGACAACACCATCCCAAACAACATGATTCTCCCTGACTTGGCCCCTTCTTCCTTTACTCTAAAATCTCTTTTATGAATACTGTGAATCTAATCATTATAATTACAAAGTATCCAAATTCTTTTCAGATATGTACAGGGTTACAAGCAATACTTACTTTATAAGTGAAATAGTCCCACCTTTGGAAATCTTCAGGTGCTAAGCAATATGGGCAGCACAGAGCGTTTTCTGCTTTCCAGAGAGTCTGTGCAATAATATAACGACAGTAGAACTGTGGCAAGCCCTAGGTGTTTGTCTACGGCTCACCTACCATTTTGACCTTTGGCAGATAACACTTACAAGAAGAATGCAAAGAATGCAGCAGCAAAGGCATCGCGCGCCTGTCCTGTAGCTGTCAGTAAGTTGGTATTTTGGCTGCTCAGAATACTGGCTGCTCAGAAAAGAGCAGGGGAGGGAGAGGAAATAGGAAAATTATTCCTTGATTGTTTAAAGGGGAAAGGGATTTCCTTAGGAAGCCAGGACACAAGAAAATGTGGTGTTTTTAAGGAGAAGGTATCTTGCTGAACTGCATAAAGATTGCTGGGATACTTTAAAGCTTTAATGTATGTATTAAAGCTTTAAAGTATCCCAGCAATCTTTATGCAGTTCAGCAAGATACCTTCTCCTTAAAAACATATCCCATATGAATCCATATCCCAACGTGTTTGAAGTGTGCACAGTTTGCTTCATTGACTATTACAATACTGGTGTGTGTGTGTGTGTGTGTACAGAATTATGTTTGCTTGCAAGGCTGCTGTTAAATGCAAGCACACATAATCCTATCATTTCTTGCAGGAGCATGCATACAAAATTAGACAATTATATTTGCCGCCCTTGTCTTCCCAATTTGTCCTTAAAAGTAGGATTGATTCTGCTGTTTTCCTTTTAAATCTTTAAATAAAATTATATTAAAATATACATGCAAGCTTAAATCTTTTCAAATCTCCTGGGGAAACAGAGTAAAAGAGGCACAGCAAAGATTAGCCTACTGGTACTTTGCAACTGAAGGGCCCCTGTAAATACAATCCTGCATAAGCAAGCAGTTTTTCTGCCTCTCCTATTCCCCCTTCTTTCTCCAAAGACTCATTAGAGATATAAAGGAAAAGAAAGGGGGGGGACAGAAAGTTGGTCATAATTCTGCTAGAGAAGGGGTGAGGGTCAGCAGAGGGAAAGAGTGTTGGCAGAGAGAGAAAATAATAAGAGGGAGAGAAATAAAGAGCAGGCGGAGCATTAGGAAGAGCCACTTTGACTCTTTGAAGGACCTTTTGCCCAGGATCCTTCATCTCATGGTAGAACCAACAGAATTACTACCGGTCCTTCTCTATTAAGAGGGCAGAATGCTTCCAAGCAAAGTTTATCTTTTTGAATTGCCCTGCCATATTCATGGAATATTATGATGTCCAAGGTGACATCATCTTCTATTTGTAATCTTCTTGCATGTTCCTGTTACTTGAACTTAACTTTTTTTTTCAATTAAAAAAGAAGTGTTAAGAAAAGAAAAACTGAGCTATTGCAGTGATTGTGCATTCTGGAAGATGGTCCTAACAGCCTGGAAGCCCCCTTCATAGAGAAAAAGAAAAATTAGACTTAGTTAGAATTACTTCTAAGCACAACAAGTTTAGGACGATTGTACCTCATGGTCTTTCCAAATGCTACTGTTTTTCCCTAAAAATTAGACCCGGCTTTATATTTTTTGGGGACTCCAAAATAAGCATTAGGGCTTATGCATGCTATCAGGGTGATAAGCCTGGCTGGGCACCCCACCCCCAGCATGTACTCAAGAGGCGGTGAGTGCGTGGGGGCCAAAGGTGTCCTGCAGAACCTACAGCCTGCTGGCCCCTTGATTGGCGTACTCTGGGGCTGCGTAGCCTACGCACTGCAGGTCAGTTGATTACCTGTCCAAGCAGCAGGTGTAGGCAGAGGTGATGATGGTGAATCTGGGAAAGCTGCAAATTGTGGGTCCAGAGCAGGTAGTTGGATGCGGGAGGCTCATCTTCGTGTGGCAGCACCAGCAGCAGACAAGAGGCAGAGGCACGGGGCAGAAGGCAGGCAATCCCGACAACACGTGGACCACAAGCAAGCCGAGAGATGCAAAGAGGAGCCTCCTGCAGCCAGCTGCCCACTCTAGCCTACTGTCTCTTAGCTTTCCTGCGGCCCATGAGGTGGATCCGGATCATGTGCCTCCCAGCCTGTTGCTTGGACAGGTAATCAACTCACCTGCACTATGTGGGCTGTGGCTGCTCCCAGACACTGTCAGCCCCCACACCCTTGCACCTCTGTTTCTGGCATGGCCACCCACCCACCCACCCACCTACCTACCTGGCTGATGATGACCTTAACGGGGGCTTATTTTGGGGGTAGAATTTATATTAGAAGCACACTAAAAAAATCAGGCTAGGGCTTATTTTATGTTTAGGTCTTATTTTCGGAGAAACATGGTAACAGTTATAACTTCTACCCACATAGACATTGAAGTATTCTCCAGGTTCCACAAAACAGGAAACATTCTACTGGTTGAGTCCACATTTTTTCACAACTAAATCAAAGTCTATTGGGTACTTAATTAACTACCCAGATTAAATATGTACATCAAGTGGCTTAGGAAAAGTTAGTAGAAATTTAGAACAACTTTTTAAAAAATATTAATCCAATCCAATTCTGTATAGATATTTCATAGCACATGTGGATAAGGGAATATGGATAAATATGGAGTTTTCCCAATGGAAAGAAGAAACAACTGGGATTGACTTATCATGTTTAATTCCTCCCCACCACTAGGAGGAAATTCAGAAATAAATATCTCCTTGGGATTTTCCATACAGTTTGCACTAAAGGTGACAGCAGGGAAAGAGTTAAAATCTTAGGATCTCTAAAAGCTAAGTTTGATTAGTACTTAGACAAGAAGCCAACAGAAAATATCAGTTCCCAATATAGTTTGCATATCAATACAACTATATTGGGAAAACTGGATGAAGGCAACAACCTGTTCTGAGTCATGCTGAAAAAAACGATATATAGATAGCCATATAGATCACCAAGAATTGAATTTGACTTGAAAAAGGTTTTGCTTAAAATAACGAGTTACAATGAAATGAAATCACACACTCACCCTTAAAGTAACATTAATAGCATCCTGCACATACACATATATTCACAGAGAGATTCCTAAAGCATAGACATTGTAATTCAAAGTCACACAAGGAAAAAGCTCATGATGTGCTAAGATATTGCAAGATAAAAAGACATGAGATATATCATTTAGCTCTATGAATTAGGAGTCTTTGTTATCAAATGCAGTGAGGGAAGCTTCAGTAACCACAATGGTTCCAAACACTTCCCAATTTTTTGTCTCTTTACCTGAGTGAACAAAGCCTCAAGAGGAAAGCTTGTAACTTCTATTCATGCACCAACCCCATCTTATTCATTCTTATACCTCTTATTGTGTGGCAGGATTTCAAAATAATCATAGCACCTGCTTTCAAAATGTTTTGGAATCTTACCTTGAATTTTCCTGATTTCTCCCTGAAGTGTGAAATGGTGGTCTGGTTTTAGTTTAATTTTTCAGAAGAGCCTAATATATATATATTCCTCTTGTTTCAGCATATTCACTTTCAAAACAGAATCATGCCTAGATACCACTCATTATCACCATGCAGATGTCATCATGTATCTCAAATGTCAGATTCTTATTCTCAGCATTCAACTGCAGAACAGGTAGGTCCAATGTTGCAGGTCTGTCTTCATTGGAAACCCAAAAACATTTGCCAAAAGTTGCACTTCTTCCTCAAAGGTTAGCAGCCCACAATACCCTTGCAAGCACAAAGGGAATAAAAACTCATACAGCCTTGCCTTCAGTAGAGCCTGAATGCCCATTCCTTTCCTTCTGGCAATTGGATGGGTTCCAGTTCTTTCAGTGCTAGTTTCTCTAGCCTGGTCTTCATTCCATAGATGGCACAACAGGTCAATATGGCATTTCTCCAGATTGGAAATCCTCCTTCTAGCTCTCTAAAGGAAAGGGCATCTGGAAGACAAGGAATTACTTCTGACAGGTAGATTTCTCATTGCTCAGGTGGCATCTACCAAGTGGTGGTCAGTTGGATTCACCTTCATTTGCTCTTCACCTTGTAGTTGCTATTTTCACTCTTGGGCTATTTTGTTTTGCTTTTAAGCCTTGCTAGGAATATCCACTATCTTGCATCTTCAATAGTGCTAAGTACTGTACCTTGAAGTCCATAAATAATGCAGGATAATAATCAATGGCCTTTGGATGCAGGTAGAGTGC